TCTAAAGTGTGTTTGAACAGTATTTTAAGATGTATATGTTTAACAGTTATAAATACCTCACGTGTTTAGCTGAGGCTTTTACATTACTACAGAAATGGAATCCTGGCATTTGTAAAACAAAACCATTCTTAACCACCTCTATCAGGCACGTCTTTTAAATTCTACTGACTGTACTGTCATTTTCTGTTTATCAATGTTTCAACATCAAACAAATACAAAGAGACACTCAGCGAGAGACACAGGACAGGTACCTTGATGTTGCGGCGGTAGCTCCTCCTGAAGGACAGGATGAGGCGTTTGAGGATCAGCTCTCCAATCTGAGGGAACTTGGAGTTGATGATGGAGATGACAGCGGAGTAAACGTGAGTAAAGATGGGAGACGCCGCCTGAGCCTGCAGCATCGAGCGAGCCAGCAGACCCCTGAGAGACAGACGGGGGGACAGTTACAGCGGGCAGTCAGACAGAAGGGGGTTTCAAGCCCCTCACTACCCCATATTGGTTCCACTCAATCTGTCTGTGATATGATTTTAGTAATATGAAGTTGTCTGTGTGTGTGTAATTCTTCACCTCCCCCCTGACGATGTTCTCCTGCAGCAGCTCCTGGATGATGAAGACGATGTTCGCGACGTTGACTTTGTTGATTAGACCGTTGATGGACTTCTTCAGGGCCTCCCAGCTCATCCTCTGATAGGCCAGGCTGCACAGGAAAAGGGCATTAGTGACACACAGGTTATAGAGTGGTATAAATACAAATAGTTGGAAAAACAGCCTCTGAGATATGGAATTGTTTTATATTGTGTGCTTTTATATTGTGTGTCCCTTTTTTATAGGGAGACAAAGCGAAAGGAAAGGCAGAAAACGGTAACAGAGAGATAACATGCAACAAAAGGCCCTGGGCTGAATTCAAACAAGCTATTGCAATTTCATTTACTAACGGAGCTAATCAGATTTGAAAACTCCCTTAAATGCACAACGTTCAACCTTCTTCGCATCCAACTTTGACTATAAGACAAAGTAGTTAATGATGATTTATATAGCGGTTATCTGCAGCACCTTTCTGGTCTTCATAAGAACAAATGTGAATATCAATCTACAAACTGATATACGAGTATGAAACGATCTGAATGAGTTGAGGAACCAAATCTTAAAGACTGTTCTAACCTTAGCTGCTATAAATAAATCAAAACACTTTTACCTGGTCTTGTCTGTGATTTGCTGCTGCATCATGCGCAGCTTGGCGGGGGGGATGTAAGCTCCACCCGTCCTCGTCAGGATCGGGTCGATCTCCTCCTTCTTCTTCTTGACTGGCGGCTCCTCGGCGGTCCCTGGCTCCCTGTCAGCTGACGGGGATCCGGAGCGCCCTCGCCTCCTCTGCTCCCACTCTGCATCTCGGTTAGGTCGCCGGTCAAAACGCGCGTCCCTGTCGTCTCGGCGAACATCGTAGCGATCGCTGGGGGAAGAGACAAAACAACACAAAGGTTTTAACATTTGTTGTGGTTGTGTTTTTGAGGTGCACCAAACGTTGAATTCGATCAAAAGAAAGAGAGGGGATGAGATCTATTTTTTGGTATTCAATAAATGAGGTACAATACATAAGAGGCTGCAATCTGATTCTTATGTTGTTTGTACTTTTAGTGTTTGATCCTGTCATGATGTTATGCAATACAAAATACTTTAGACATGTCTTTAATGTGCAATGTGTTCTATGACCCGGTCTTTAAGCTATCGAGGACCTTCTTTTAAACTAATAGAAAGTCACCCACTAAAATGATGGCAAGCCAATAAGAAGCAGCGTTGGTTACCGATCGTAGCGTCCTCTGTCGTAGCGCCCGCGGTCTCTGTCTCTTGACCTGGACCGCTCTCGTCCTCTGGACCTTGATCTGTCCCTCTCCCTGGACCGGTCTCTGGATTTGGACCTGGATCTGTCTCCCTCTCCCGATCTGTCTCCCTCTCCCGATCTGGATCTGTCTCGGTCTCTGGATATGGATCTGTCTCTGGACCTAGACTTGGATTCGGACCTCTGGACAACAAAAAAACAAAGACTGTCAGCGGTATTTCTTTTGATCTCTTCATTTTAAAAGGAATGTCACTTTGAGTTTGACAATAATTGTTTAACAACTGGGAATTGCGTTTACATTTTAGCCTGTGCACTTTATACAACTTAAGATTCAAGTAAACGGACCAGAAGAACACTTCACATTTCTGCTTCATGTTTAACCTTCATCATTCAAAAAGCATTAAAGGAAACAATGATGTTGCTCCCTTGATGAATGATAAGGATAAACTGTAAATAAATTATAACTTTTTGCATTTTTAAATTGATCATGCTTACCTTGATCTGAGCCACACTACTCCTGAGCCTTCGCAGTGCCCCTTGATGTTCATCCTCATCATCACTGCTGGTGCTGTCGTCTGAGCTGCTGGAGGCAGGACCCCCAGAGGCCGGGCAAGCAGAGGCCGGGCCCCCAGAGGCCGGGCTCCCGGAGCGGGACCGGGCTGCAGGACTGGCTTCACGGGACGGCTTCGTCTGGGGTTCTGGGCTTTTCTCTATAGGACCCTCCTGTTTGGGCTTTTCTGCTGCAGGACTGGCCTCATCTTCTGAAGGTCCTGAAGACAGAGAGGGAGAGAGCAGCGTTATCAGATGATACTACATCTACAATGACTACAACTGCTAGCAATGCTGCTGTTCCTACAACAACCTAAAATAACGAAAGCAGGTTTTACTCACCACTTTGTTCCTTCATCTCAGGAATGGGACTGGGACTTCTGCTTGGAGAGTCCATACCTGAACATATATGCATGCACATGAATGACTTTGGAGAATAGGTACTGAAACAGACATCACAGATCAACTTATATGTGATAAGCAGAAATATTCTGTTGATGAACACAGAGTCAGACAGCACTTATAGCAATACATTAAACTATACATATAGTGTGTATTTTAGATAGCAGAAAAGCTACAGTGATCATCACTTTTAAATACCTCGACAGTCTCTGCATGATATTACAAAATGGTTTTACAATTGATTGCAGATGTGTTGCTCTGACACCAATCGGCCTTCTATGCAGAAGAGATACCTTTCTCGACGAATTACACTATAACACATTGGATGAGCAGGTGGAAACAACATAAAGCCAGAGATGATGTCTTCCATTTGATTATAAGGAAAAGCCATAATAATCATATCTAAGATGCTGTTATCATCAACACATAAGCTTTTATAGATGACAGATGGATTGCATTAATACAATGTTCTATTTTTCTGTCGATCAACTTATTGATGACTAGAACAATATCTCATTTCTAGCAGAAAGACACATCACTGATGAGATTTTCTGAATGTTTTTATGGTCTCACAGACAGCTTCTGGACAACAGCATATAAAAACATCACAAACACAGGATATATTCTATTCATTTTAAGTTCACTGACTCTTTGAAGTTAAGTGTCTGCAGACTTTCACTTAAAACTTAGAACTTGAGAGTTGTACCTGTAGCTAATACACAGGAGCAGCTAACACTGACAAGGGCAGGACACAACTTCAGTAAATCAAAATCAAGTAAACCTTACAGCTAAAGTAGTCATTAAGGGTACTTTTTTAAACAATATTATTTATACATTCAAAATAAAAAAACTCCAACGAACGCATCAGTTTTAAGGCCATGTGTGTTTGGGTGAGCTAAAGTTAGCTAGTCAGCTAATCCTACTTTAGCTACATCTGGTTAGCTGAAATGCTCATTATTTGTCCCTAAAACAGAAACACTTTGCTTTTGCTTGCGTCTCTGTAAATAAACGATATATTCTTACTTCACTGAGTCTTTTTATGTCCAGTTGTCGTATTGTTTTCCGCCTTTTTGTTCCTCTGTTAAATCAGTACGTCGTTCTCTGGCGGAAAACGTCGCCCGCCAGCTTCCGGATTTCCGAACAAAAGTCCCCGAATTGTTTCTGTACCGCTCCCTGGTGGTGATAACAGTGACCTCCTCCAAAGATGTCCCTTCAGTTATCATAGGGGGAACTTGCATTATCATGGATACAAACAGTACAGTATCTTATATAATCAACGGTTAAATTACATCCACATTCTCAAAACCCAAATCCAGCACCAGACACTTTTTACGCTGCTATGGACAATCTGGCAATAATGCACATTCTATGGACACGCTGCACATTCTGTGTACAATTTTGCACTAATGTATATTCTCAAATATTGACGTGACTGTTATTTTGTATATATTCATTGTTGTGTTTTTATGTAGGTCTTAATGTGTGCAGATGTAAAAATGTGTCTATGATTCTGTGTATATATATATTATATAAACATATTTGCACACATATTTTTATACACTTTAGTTTTTATATTCGGGATTGTGGGAAACGGTATTTCGATCTCTAAGTCTGTACACACAAACTGGAAGATTGACAATAAAGTTAACTGTGAAATTGAAAAGGCTGCTTGTGAAATAGGGAGATAGAGCTTTATTAATATCATAGGAAATTGTTCTGAAAGAGTTTTCTCAAAAATTAAATTAGAAAAATCCAATAATAAATATAAAGTGTATGAGAAATAAAGCAATAGTACCAGTGCCTAGATAAGTAACTAACACCTGCACCTAATATAATACAATTTCAAGTAAGATACATTTACAAACATCATTGAATTAAGAATAATAAAGTAGTACTAACAAATATTTAAAGGTAATATTGAACATGATATTGAAAAGTAATATTGCCCAGGATATTGATATTGCTGTTTTAAGTGTGTGATATTACATGTGTCCTAACAAAATATATTTTTATACTTTTAGAAATTAGGAATGATCTTCTGTGGCATTCTGTTTCGCACCTGGTTAATCTCACTCTACGCCCGAAGGTGATCTGATCATGACCATATAGTGGTGTTTTTGGGGCATGAATATAAAATATTCACAGTTTGAACATTTGAAATACTTGAAGTTGTAGAAGTGGCAGTAAAAATAAAAGAAGCAGAACTCATCAGTACTGAAAATAAATACATCTTTATTATTCTCATCTCTCATCGCATGGGAGTAATACCTCCCATGCATCCCGCTGAAAAGACATCAATACAAAATACACATCATCATTATTAGACATTAACAGAAATTAATAGACACCAACAGACAGAGCAGGGAAATTAGAAGTGTGCGACAGATTTTCTTGATCAGATAAAAAATAAAATAAAAGCACGTTTGAGCCTCGGAGTTCACAGCGAGTGTTGGTCCAGCAGAGTAAGGTTTGTGATCAGTGAACAAAAAAAAAAAATGTTTAAACAAACACAAAGTCATAAATGTTGAAGAGAATCAAAGGTCAAATGCGTGTTAATAGTGATTTAGATAAGGGAATAACAAAGGCTGTGTGGTGTGGCTGACAAATCTAATGTCAGTCTGTACAGACATTTTGTTAAATATTGTTCCACAAAGACAAACCATTTTTGAATTGAGTGTGTTTGTCTTGATTGACAGGCCTCTCGGACACAACAAACAGTCCTAAATGCTGATGAAACATGTTGTCAGTTCAATAGTGAGGCAAAGTCAGGCCCCTTCTGGTAGACAACCATTGAACCTCATTTGGAATCAGATTACTAAACTACTAATTGTACCATTAATTACAAATACGATGTTTGTCAATTGAACAATTATTTTGCAAGTCAAGTAAAAAGTGTTTTTGCAGTTTTTCATAAAAATATGTCATATCATAACTTTCTCTCCTGCGATGTATATGTTTCGGGATGTACTCACAAGAGGAACAGGTCTTCTTTTGCTCGATGGCTGATAAAAAAGATCATTAGTTGCTAAATAAAACACATCATGTAGAATAACGTAACATTTGTTCTTAGCTAGAGACATAGTTCATGGGACTTCTTGACGTGCAAAATCAACTTTTAAATTGACAAACACATGTGTTATTTAGAGCATAAGTTTAACAGATGAAACCTAACCTTAAACATAGCCTTTAAATATTGTACATATCTTTCAAAAAAATTCCCATGATGTAAACTGGCAGATGTTCTTTTTTGGTCATTAGTGGTGAATTGTTTAGTGATAAATCACCTCAGTGGATTTTATACAGAGAAAAGCTAAATCTAGAGTTTCTCTCAATAAAACCAGCAAACTGCAGATTCATTTCTGTCAGATGTACTGGTAGACATGTTGAGTTGAAGTGGTGCAGGATGACCTGAAATATTAACATTGATTTACTCAGTAATCAATACATATCTATATATTATTGCACACAGATTTGTAATTGGTGAGTCGGTAGCTAACATTCTAACACAGCTAATTGGATAATTAACCGCAAAATCAAAAAATACAAATGTATCTTCTTACAAGAAGTGTTATTTATCGATCTAGATTTTTTTGTGGTGAGATGCTGAGTGTTGCGACATTTTCGGCCGTAGAGATGTTTGCCTTTCTTTGAATATAATGGCACTGAGCTTGTGATGCTATAGACTGCTATACAAATACATTTGAACTCAACAGCTCATCGTTACATGATCTGCTGGCTAAGCTCCTCCTTATGATTGAGCATAACATCATCATCATCATCATTACTGTCACCATGACAACTTACTGAAACCTGCTTGAACTCCTCAGTACCTCACATGCCATCACACACTAACCTCATCACCTGCTCTGTAGCAACCACCACAAACACACAGGCACGACATTCTGTGAAAACCTTTCAGTTCAGGATGAGTTCGGCCATGCTGAGCAAAACCCAGCACGACAACATGAACTGTGAATGAGGCGAGAGGAACAGAAGCACGATGACAATGATGATGACGGTGATGAAGATGAAGGAATGTTGACTAACATGGGACAAAATACATCTGTAATGACACATCTGTAAGACCTCTCAGAGCCCTTTGCATCAAGGTGAAATGTGCATGGAATGAGTAAAAGCTAAGTAAGACTGCGATTATTGAATATTAAGGAATGTTACCCAAAACTAAAAGGAAGAAAAAGTTCAGATTAAAGCGCATTAATGCACTTTAATGCATTTCTCACAGAAGTCTGTCACCTGTTTGTCGCTCTGATACCATTGAAACTCATTCAGCCAAATCATTATTATTATTCACAGGACTGGGATTGTAGTGGTGATACTGCCAGTGTAATGTTAGTAGTACTAGATGTAGTACTCGTAGTATTAATGGCAGTGGTAGTACTTTAAGGCCTAGCTTTGATCAAAACAGCTTAGAGAAAGGGAACGTGAAGAAAAAAAGGCAACAGCTTTCTGCTGGTGGCTCACAGGCTGGTGTTCCCAGCATGCATTACACCAGCACATTCAAACCCAATAGACACGTAAACGTCCTCATGGCTCTGCGTCCCGTCGGAGGCTCCACAGGAGGGGGGGGGTAGGGGGGTGATGTTTCATCATCAGTGTTACAGACATACAGTGTTGAAGGCACATAGTGCTCCACAGAAACAGTGTTACTCAGCTATACAGTGTTACAGACGGACAGTGTTGCCGTGGTTATGAAGGCTGAAGGTGAAAGGGGGCGATGCTTTGCTGTTGCTGTGTTACAGGGGTTGTCGGCTGCCGGGCTGGGGCGACACGGCAGCCAGCAGCTCGCTGTAAATTTCCTGTCGGACCTCCTGCGCCAAGCTCTCTCGAATCTGGAAAACAACAGAAACATTGTAAACATATAAACAGCAAGCAGATCCCTTTCTGTTTTTCACACTGTTTTTCTCACTGTTTTAATGTCACCAAAGAATAATATGGAAAATATTATCTCATTTGGCGTTTTCCCTCTACACACACACACAATTAAATAGGAATTTTAACCAGTAAAATCCTGCAGTAGTTAGAGTAAAAGGTTACCTCTTTGATGAGCTGCTGCAGGTTCCCGACTCTGGCTCCTCCTGCTGCCCCTTCCTCTTCTGGTACTCCTCCTCCTCTTCCTCTGTCCGGCTCGTGCTCATCCAGCTCCTCCTCCTCTTCCTTTTCCTCAGTGTGTGTGATGGATCGAGGAGGAGGGACAGGGTTAATGTTAATTGTTGCCCGGTACACGCCTCCTTTCTGCCGGCTTCCACCTCTGACTGGACTGGAGGATCGGGACGAGGGGCCGCTGGAGGGGGCGTGGCCATCATCACTGAGCTCTGATTGGAGGTAGAGCTGCTCTCTGAGGAGGTCTGACAACTGTACCGGAAAAGGTTGTGCATTAAGATAAAGTCTACACTGTGAGCTTTATATTAAATAAGTGTGTTTGTATGTAAGTGTGCTTACTGGCTCCATGGCTCTCAGTGCAGAGGCGGTGGACAGACTGTCCACACTGCCGCCTCTATGGAGACCCTGAGGAAGAGAGTAGGACACATGACGATAAGAGTCGAGACAAAAAAGGCATTTTAGAAAATGAACACCTTTTTGAATGTAATTTTAAAGCTTTGTCAACTGAATATGACATTGGGCAGATCTGCATCACCTCTTGCCTTTCGTCACAGGTGTTGAAAAGTCTTCCCCTTATATGTCCTCCACGCTCAATTGGGACGGCTCTTACTGTTGTCTGGGATTACCCCTCTTTCTTTCTTTCTTTCTTTTCACTCTTTTCTATATTTCTATATTATTTGAAGGCTGTGGTTTTATATTTTCCTTTTTTTACTTGTACAAATTGTAGTCCAAATCAGATAAATAGTCTCAAAAGGGTTGTAAAAACTGCTGTAACAGCTCTTTATGAAATAGAAGCATACATATGTTGTATGCAAATGTATAATTGATAATTAACCCTGTGGTATCAAAGCAATATAGAATACAACTAGCTATGAATGCTGGATATTAAGATTGCACTGTGTGTACCCCGTGTGGTGGGCTCTGTGTCAGCTCCATCAGTCGGTCCTCCAGCTGTTGTTCCAGCTCCTGCAGCTCCTCTCTGACCGCCGACCTCAGAGACTGAAGCTGCTCCACCTCCATCCTGAAAACACACAAGATGTTTGTTATGTTCATCATATACAATCTCAGGGCTGTGATGATTGTTTGCTGTGATGACTCACCTGTCAGCAGGGCTCAGGTGTTTGTAGACTTGAGCCTGCTGTCGAATGATTGACAGCTCCAGGTCCATCATCTGTCTGCGGAACAAGCTCAGGCTCTGCCTCTTCTGCTGAAACTCTGCCAAAGACTGTAAACAGAGAGAGACAAAGGTAAACACACCTGACTGATGACACTAACAATATTTACATTTGAAGCCATGTAAAGCTAGTATTTCAAGTTACTATATTACTATGAATTCCCAACGATGGGATGTATGCACGTTATGTATGGAACATATAGTCTTTGCATATTATCTCTTTGTAATGACTCAGTCAGAGAACATATCTCCTGACAGTGTTTGTGTCACGAACGTCCAGTAAAAGCTGTACATACGTTTTAAGTAGTCTTTACTTACAGGAGCATTTAACGCACAAGCTAAGCCACAAAAAGTAATAAGGGATGACGATACCTTGTGGCTGGGCAGACCCCCTCTGGGCTCACTGAACACATCCGGAGTGCCGACTTGGGTCTAGATGAAGACGAAAGTGATGTTAGGACAGGAAGTGGAACATGACAAGCTGACCAGGGATAAGTAAAAGCTAACCGAGGACTGGACGATATAGAAACATTTTGATTAATTTATTTCTTTTTGATTGAATATATTGATCCGAAAAAAAAGCAGATAGTTAATTATGGTTTGTAATATACAATTATTTATGATCAGAAATCCAGCTGAGGACAAGCAAGGTATCCAACAATACTGTCCTCCAGTACCTGCCCTGAGTGACTTTGGAGAACGTCAACTCACCTTAAAAAAAAAAAAACTAAAGTAGGACAATAACATAAACTAACTAACCAATCAAGGCAGCTATGGCAACACCCGTGTTCTGCCAATTATATTTACAGTTCTTTTTTCAAAACGTGTCTTTAAAAAAGAGACTATCGATGGATATATATGTTTCAGTTCCGTGGTTTGGAGGCAAGGTAAAGTGGTGAAATCATTCCAAATAAAAAATACCCTTTAAGTGAGATTCAGATTTGTTTTAGGTGCTAGAATATGGTTTGCTGCTGCCCCTTTCCACAACATTATATTGCTTGACTCCTGTCTTGGAATTCCTTCTGTTTCTCCACACTAGGGACCTGCAGACTGCCATTTATTGCAGGTAATACACTGACTATGGATAAGTTCATCATACAAGCCCACTTCAACAAATCAAAACACTTTAAGGGAGTGAAGAGCACTGACCTGGCTCAGGCTCTGAACCGTGTCTTTGATGTCGTGCAGGACCCTCCTCAGCTGCATCTCAGTGCTGGACGGGCCATGGCTGGCTCCTGGACTGGGAGCAGCATGAGGATTGAGCCCCGGGTGGAGGCTGTGACCCGAGCCCAGGGAAGAGGCCAGGCCTGGGTAAAAGCCTGCAGGAGGAGTAGCAAACCCTGGGTGGAAAAGGCCATGTTCTGGGGCAAACGGCGGACCCTGTGTGACGGGGTTGTGGTACGCTAGGTGTGGGTTCATGTTGTACATATTGTAACCAAGGTAGGGGGATGCAAACTGTGAGCCGTGAGGAGAGGCGTTGTAGGGTGACTGATGGCCGTATAGATGATTGTAGCCCTGTTGGTGCATTGCTGGAGTTCTAGGATGAAGTTTGCTGTGCTGACCAGGTGAGGAGGGGTTGTCGTGCTGGGGGATTGTGGAAGTTGGAGGTTGGTAGAGACTGTTTAGACTAGTATGATGGGGCAAGTATTGGTGCTGAAGGAGGTTAGGAGCACTGGTGTACGGATTGAGATTGGAGTGATACTGCTGAGGAGGGTTTAGAGGGAAGGGGTATGGGCTGGGACTAGGATTTGGGCTTGGGCTTGGGCTTGGGTTTACGTACTGAGTTTGAGGATTAGGATAGCGAAACATCATCTGGCCTGAATTCCAACTCTGCTGGTTTTGCTTGGTGCTCATGTTCTGTTGGAACTGGCCCGGATGCTGCTGATTGGAGAAGAGTTCGGGAACACTCTGGGTGCTCCAGCAGTGGCCAAGGCTTCCTGGGGACCATTCTGGAGGAGGGCTGCTGCTCTGCAGGGAGCAGGTGGAGCGCAACAGGTAGCGTGGGATGGGCTTCGGTGGGACGGGACCTTCAGGGGGAAGCCTTGGTGGTTTGTTGATAGAGTCTGAAGAGGAGGCGGGGTTTATGATCAGGGTAGACATACAGTTAATTGATCGTTCCTCCCCCTCCTCTTCCTCTTCCTCTTCGCCTTTATCCTCTGGAGTGTATTTGAAGGAGTACCTTGGCTGCGTGCAGGACGCCTGTCCTCGCCCAAACTGGATCCTGACAGAGGACACAACTCTGGTGGGGGAGAGGAGCGAAGAAGGCAAGGAGGAGGACCTCTGCAGGGGGATGCCACGTCTTCCTCGTCCTCTCCCTGGGATATGGGTCAGATCATGACCATGGGACAGCTGGCTCTGTTTGGCTCGGTACAGAGCGCAGAGGACTGGAGACGATGGAGGAGGAGGAAAACAAAGTGGACCAGAATCATCCAAGGTTCCTTGCTCTTCCTGGGCCTGTTCCTCAGCACCCGCTCCCTCTGTGGGTGGTTCTGCGTCTGCAGCGGTCTCCGTCTGATTCGGGGTGTGTTCCAACTCTGGTTGTGGTTCTTGTTCTGCAGCAGGTATAATCACCTGTTCTGGTTCTGGTTGGGAATCATTCTGGTGTTCACTTTCAACTAGCTCCTCCTCCCTGATCTCATCCTGTTGCGTTCCTATGTTCTTGGGTAGGTGGTGCAATGAGTACTGCAGAATCTGCTCTAAACTCCCATCATGGTCATCTTCCCTGGATCCACTTCTCCCTTCAGCCTCAGCAGCAGCAGCAGCAGCACCCGCCTCTTCCTCATAGGTGTCTGGCATCTCAAAAGCTGGTTGGTCCATTGGGACCGGCGTGGCCACATCTAGTGAAGGAAGTGACGTCACGGTGGTCTCGCTGTCACAGCTGTCACTGCTCTCCTGCACCTAATCACAATCAATGTATTCGCCAGTTAGTGGATGAAGAACTAAGATGAAGTTAAAGAATACAACAATGTAAAAAGAGAGATTGGATTGAACATCTGCATTCAAAGTTGGTGTTCTGAACAGAGATACAGGCGGTAAAGACACAAAACAAAACAGACCTTGAGGTAGATGTTGGAGTCTGCAGACGGCTCCTCAGCAAAACCACTGCTGTCTGACTGCTGACTGACTGTCCTCAACAGGTCTGAGAGAGACACAAAGACAATGACACACTATGATTACTGCTGCAGTACATCGTCTGTCCAGCTGGTGGTAGAGTAGAATCATTTACACTGAGCCTAAAGCAGAAAGCGACAGGACAGTCTGTCCTCACTGACATCTGTGTGTACTAAGGAAAAGGAAACACGTTTATTGCACACAGAAACAGGCTGCACATATACTGGATAGCAATGCAGCACGCAAGAAGTAGACGACTAGAAAGTTAACATACTGTAGATGCAGGGATTTTAATTTTTCAATGCATCTAGGTCAGTATGAATGTCCACATAACTTGTGTTTGTTAACAATAAAAAAATCCAAAAGGCAGTTTGAAGGAAAGTCAAATATATAAATATCACCAGTTGAAAACAGGTAAAGGGGAACTCACCGGTTGCTCTGGAATTTCTTTGTGGCAGACCCTCATCTTCGTTAATCTAAAAAGAAAAGAAAACGGTGAATTTAAAAAGACAAAAACATACTCAACATGGGCAACATGCTAGTTCATCTACAGCAGCAGCAGACCAGGCTCCACACAGGGGAGGAAATCGCTTTAAAAAGGTCAATACATAATGGTTTTTGTTGCATTGTTTCACATTAATGACTTTTTGTGGTTTTGCAATTCTCCTAGAGCTTTATCTTCCCATGGCATGTTTAGTGAAGCATCAGCTCCACATAAAGCCGTTCAAATCACACACATCTCTATGACTACATAACTTAACCCATAATGATCACGCAAGGTCATCATTTTAACTTTGAGCTTTGTGGTTTTTAAACATGCATATGGGGAAATTAACTAAATGAATAAATAAAACAACAATGATTCCTTCCGGTATATTCCACATGGAGTCCACAGTAAAACTATTTTTACTCACAAAAGTTGTTTAAGTTGTTTGGAAATGTCACTGGTTCCTCTGGTTTATTTTTACAGTGGGAAGACAATTTTAGGATTTATTTTCATCAATTTCAGCGGTAGTTTGTGTTGGAAAACTAGTGTTTAGTTGCTAAACGAGGAGCAGAGTGCATATGCAACAAATACAAGGATAACGTTGTTTGATTGAGATGGTGAGATGGTGTTGTGAACCCAGGAGAATATCACACATTTGTGTAGGCTGATTTGAATGTTAAAAAATTACCAACAGGTACCATTTATAACCTAGTGACCGCGCAGATCATTATAACTCTTTGTGTTGGAGAACCCTGTTTGGGAATAGTCCTGACATTACCACATACTCATTTAAAAGATCCCTGGCTTACCTCCTCCATCTCGAAAGAGTCTGTGTTTTCCTTCTGGGCCAGCTTGAACAGGGCCAGGCTGGGATGAGCTTTCTCTGGGGTTGAGGTCCGGTTCTTCTCCTCCAGCTCTTCTTTGCCTACCTGGGTCCTGTCCTCTGTTCTCTGATTGGTTGACGGAGAGTCAGCTGATTCTGGTTCATGCTCTCCATTGGCTGCTGGACTGGCACTGCTCTGTTCAGGACTGACGGGAGGCGAGATGTTAAGGTGCAGTCAGAACGAACTTGGTAATACAACTTTTAAACCATTAGGGGAAAAAATAAAATACTAAAGTACATTTTAATACATTCCCAATGATGCTCAGAGAAACAGCAGTCCACTGTTCTTCTACCGACTAGATTTGGTTCCTTAATCTCTGCAATGAACATCAGCTCTATGCAGATGATGCTCAATTACATTGCTAATATGCAATTATGTGTAATAAAGCAATGGTGGAGAAAGCACTGCTTATAGTAAACCAATCTAAACACAAAAGGTGTTTTTATTCTCTTTTTGCATAGCATTTTGCAATAAACACTACCTACACAATACTAAGTTAAAGTGGACCTATCATGCTATATTTTAATAATATATTGTAGGGCCATACCTATATAAAACATGTCAGTGAAGTTTTTTTTCAAAATACCAAACAGATCATGCATTTTAGCCATGCCTCATTTCGCTCTATTCCAGCCCCGTCTTCACAAGGGCTGATTCTGTGGCAAATGAGCCGCAGCTGACCACGCCCCCCTGCAAAGGAGGGGGGCGAGGCACGAGCGGCATATTACCATGCTGTTACCATGCTGTTACCATGCTGTTACCATGCCACAGCAACCTCTCATTCCCCTGATAGGTGGAGAGTTGCCCATATAGGCGGAGCTCCTTGTTTCTGACGTCAGAGATATTTCAAATCTGTATCAGTCTGTATCAGATCCGTTGCTGTCCCGTTTTTAGAGATTTGGGTATGGAGGAAAGAGAGAGGGTTGTTTTTTCTGACACTTGGTGAGTTCCCTGACGCACCGGGGACACATATTCATGTATAAAAGACGTACAAAAGTGCATTTTGCATGATAGGTCCCCTTTAAATAAAAAACATATCTATTGCTATATTTACAGATTTGAATACTTCCTCCACCACTGCAAACCGGCTTAAATATTAGCGAGCTAACATAAGCTAGCATTTTGTACCTGTCGTCTCCATCACCGTTGGATTCCTCTGTGACGGTTGCCAGGAAACAGTCTTTCCTGCGCATATGTTTCTGGTTGATTGTGTCCGCCTGGTGGTCTGGGTCAGTACTGCTGCCGTTCTGCTCCGGGCCGTTAGCGTGACCGTTGGAGTGACCGTTAGAGTGCGTGTGATCAGGGTTAGCGTGTCCGTTCAGCTGCGGCTGTTGGTTGTTTGTTTCAGGCGACTCGGGGGAGGCCGCAAGCAGGTTTTTTTTGCTGATGGTTTTCTTGAGGAGTTTAGCAACGTTACGAGCTGAGTTGGTCTTCTTCAAAGGAGGACACGACTCGTTTTCTTCTCCTTCTCCCCCTCCTAGAGATGCACAACCATTATGTCACTATCAGTCAAATGCAGTGCCAACTATGTTATCATAGTAAGAGTAACATGAATGAAAAAACAATCTGGGATCAGTTTGTCTGCATTTCACTTCCAAAAATGATTGCAATTGTCATGGTTACCTTGGTCCTTGGAGCTGATACGTTGGACAGGCTGACCAGAGACTTGACTGTAGAGCTGGAAGAACTCGTTAGCTACTGTCGTCAAGACCTCGATCTGACGGAAACGACCTGAGAGAGACAAAACAGTTACAAAATAAAGAACAGAAAATACCATGTGTGAAGTAAAACTGAAAACAAAAGTTACTCTTTCAAAGGTCTGCACACATTTGGATACTGAATACGGCTTTTCTTTACCTGCTCCTAAAAGTGTAATAACTGGCAGAAAGGAGGCAATTTAGTTAAACTTCTAAACATGCTGTCAACATCCAGCAGCGCTCTTCCTCCTCTGAGCCAGTTCAAATATCTCTGCCTGCTGGTTTCCTGGTGTCCCTGAGCTTTTTGTTAAAGCACTCCCCCCATCAAAAAAAGACATCCATCTTACAAGGTCATTCATTCCCAACTTTAGCTTCATGAATACCAAGAGGTCTTGTTAAAGAAACATTTAGAAAATCGTGTCAGCGACTTCCAAAATAAGACACATTTACCACATATTTTTATGTTACATTTGATAATTTTGACTTTAGTGTATCAATTAACCCTTTGTAATCATCTAATGTGTATCATCTGTACAAGTGAAACGTGTATACAACTATCTTTTGATCTGTTTTTTGCCTTGATACATTTTTATGTATCATGTTTTCCTTTTCATTTATGACTGAGTCACTGTAACAAGTTCATGTCCTCAGTGTGTGATCAATACAGTTGTTATCTTATGTGTGTTAAGTTGTTTACAAATACAATTCAACAAAAAGGAGTGTCAATGGTCCATACACTTCTTTCTGCTAATAATCCCAAAATGCCATGAAATGTCAAATTATATAGGGGCACATTTGACGGTACAACCTTACTCACTATGGAGTTACCTTTTGAATGTTTATTACAAAGGGAGTGAATGAAAATAAGTAATAGTAGTGGTAATAACCTGCGATCCATTTTGCCTGTTCTTTTCACATTTCACAAGAAACAAGTGTTTTGGATTGAAAAAATATCTGGAGTAAAAAAAACGACTTGGCGAAAAGCTTCATGTTTGACGTCAGAGCCTCCCTTCTTCTGTGGTTGTGTAAGCCGAGCTGTCAATCTTGTCTGTAACAGGATGATGACTTGCACACTTTCCTTCCTTCCGTACTGGTCCCTCCTCACCACCATCCCTCCATCTTTACCCGTCTAAATACTTGTCACTCTGTTATGAAACGCAGACTTCTGTCTTTTGTCAGTCGCTCTGTTAACCCCACATAACGTGCTCTGATGTCATCACCTGAAATATGAAGCTCAGGTCTGCTCGCTCTTACATTTGATCCCATCCTCTAGTTGTTACATCGATAGATAGATGGATAAAAAGATAGGTACTTTATTCATCCTACATTTGAACAGCAGTAGCAGGTTATCAAGGCATTGTACAAGAGTAAAGAAATGCAAAAAAACAATAAATACAACTATAACTAACTTTTGTCAATGAGTTTTCAATGCATAGGTTAGTTTGGCCTCTTGCCAATAAATGTAACTATTTGAGTCACACTAGGCTATTGAGATATTTAAGAAATTGACTACCTTACTTCCACAATTTGTGCCAAAAATCTTACTCTCTCTCAGTCATCATCACTTTATCAAATCTTAACACTGTAAAAGTAACAATACATATATGTCCATTATGAACTTTTGTCCACAAATTACAAAGAAACCAGAGAAAAAAGATGATCGTTTTACTCTAGAACGTTCCTGAGAATCATCACGTTTCTATGTTTTCTCCAGTATCAAAGTAATCCAGTTTAAGTTTTACTGCAAGAGTACGTTGCAAAAAACAAGCGCCAATAGTTATTTGTTTAACTGTGCCATTTTGCCAGAATGTAAACAAATGTTGGCAACAAGTGATATTATTATAGCCAGAACAACTTTTAGAGATCCATATCATTAGCCATTGTGGCGTTTTCCAAATGTTCTGTTGCCCCAAAGCGGCCAAAATATATCCATTAATGCACCATTAAAACAAGCAGTAATTATGAAATATGAAAACCTTCAAGTTAAACACATAGAAGACATCGACTGTGTTCAAGCCACAAACATCTTGACATGACTCCACAGAATATGAACCTCTTATTACAGCAGTCGTGTGTGATGATAGTAAGACTGTGAGTCTGTTTCCTGCTGACTGCTGACTCGGCACTAATCCTTGTTCTAAAACAGGAAATGAGGAATAAGAGAAAACGACACGTACTCTCTTTCTCTCTCCCCGTCCCAAGAGATTCGTTCTGATGGTGAGAACAGAGCTTACGTAACCACACACACACACACACACACACACACACACACACACACACACACACACACACACACACACACACACACACACACACACACACACACACCACACACACAACACACACACACACACACACACACACACACAACACACACACACACACACACACACACACACACACACACATCACACACACACACACACACACACACACACACACACACACACACACACACACACACACACACACACACACACACACACACACACACACACACACACACACACACACACACACACACACACACACACACACACACACACACACACACACACACACACACACACACACACACACACACACACACTCTGGGACCCGGGGAACCGATGGAACAGTATGAGAATGTTCTGGAAAAGAAAAAAAACTTTCCAGGACCCAAAGAGAGACCAGAGGCTGTTAAAGGAGCAGTTCACTTTGTAAAAGACGGACACAGAACTGATCTCAGTCACCCCGGCTGTGCGTGAAGTCAGTTTGTATTTAGTTTTTAACCAAACATTTACAACATCAGGCTAAAGCAGAAAAAAATCCCTCCCATTACACAACAAATATTTAGTAAGTCAGTATTTTGTTTTACTGTTGTTTTGAGTCACTTTCCTACACAATGGTCAGATTATCAAATGCAATTTGAAATTGGGACCAGGTAGCTGTTTCTTATGAGGAGTATAAAAAGACAACATGAAAGCTCTGTAGCCCGAACAAACAAGGCTAACTTTTTTAATTCTTTCAACCTTGACAGAGTCAGCGCACACCAGATCAACCTGCTCCGTTTTGTCTTCTACAATAAAAGCCCTAATTAAACACCAAGCAAAAAGGAAATGCGTAAATCATAGAGAATGATATTGAATCAATAATAATAATTCCCTTAAGTGCTTGTTTAGCTCTTTCTCTCAGTGGAGAGTGAGTGCATGAGTTCATTGTCATCCTGAGCCGTTCTCCTGCCGTCAGACTGAACGCTGGCGCACTTCTCTCCTCCTGACTCAGGTCATTGAGTTTCAGTGTACGTGCATCCAAACAGCTTGTGACTCATTTAGTTGTTATGAGCAGATACTCAATGATTGTGAGATAAGCAAATGGAAACCGTATGGATGAATGTCAACAACGCACTGTGTCAGGTTGTTTATTGGAGTCAAACATCCAGCTTAATACCTGTGGCGACATAACACCGAGTCACAGCAGAGTCTTATTTGGTTAGTTGCACTGATACACACAGTCCGGATTACAATGACATAGGCTCATTAAACATTTTCTTTCAGATGGGTCCTTTCTTTATCAAAACGTATGATGTTATAATTAGTATGTTATTAAAAATTGATTATACTGTTAGCGCCATGCTAGCCTAATAACGAACACCAACATTTCACACTTTTACAAATGTAAACTAGGTTTTATGTGGAAATCGAAAAAAGTGTTATCAGTGTGTTTTCAGTCTAAGAGGAATTCAACTGAAATCTCTAACAATGGTAATTCAACATGGCCACACCCAAGCTGATTGGTCGTTGTGCAAGGATTGTCTGTCAGACGAGAGTGGATCTTAGATAAGACACCATCAGAAGAGAACAGAAGCTGCAGACGATCGCCAACGTTGCACAAGTGAGCGATGAAGACAAAACAGCTGATTCAATGTCCCTTAACTCTCCTTTTCATCTGATTCAACAGTCATTCTTATTGAATGAAATTCTCTCTCTCTCATTTGATCACATCATTAGTGAGGTCATTACGTTATTGGGTTTTAATTCATGCTCAGAAAATTATTACATTATTGGGTGCTACAAGGCGGTCAATAAGACTTGGAAAACTGTTGTATAGTGGCAAATATATACATATTTTGCACTACACATAAAAAACCCACCCTTAACATTAAGAGACACAAACTCTGGTTGAAAGGTCAAAACTTTCAATTCCATAAAGATGCTGAAGTGAAAAGGTTATGGCGCAGAGGCGCTAAGGTCAGCCACGTAATAACGCAGTCATTTTAACATACAATTGAGTGGCCTGGCTGTTTTCAGACTACCAACGCATACCGATAACTTTCATTAAAGTAAGCTGGAAAGTCATTGATTCCTATTCTTCCATATTGAAGTGATACAAAATGTAGACCACCCAGCTAAACTACCATCATTACCTTTTCAGCTATGGAGTGATTCATCTTCCCACACACAGAGGATCTATGGTCATGTTATTTTTGTTTTTTTTAACAGCACCAAGACAATTAAAATGTCAAGAACAGGGTTCTTACACCTTTTCCAAAGTCAAATTCAAGCACTTTTCAAGGTGCATTTTCAAGGTGCATTTTCCAGCTTTTCAAGCATCTTACAGCTGTTGTAAATTACATATTTATTTACACATACTCAAATGATTATTTCCCTACCTCACATTAAATCAGATGTTCTTTATGCTATAAACAACCAAATGTGTGTTTCGTGATAGCCTTCTACACGAGGATGAAAAATGAAAGAAAAGAAAACTAAGTTTAATATTTCAAAATTAGTGATCTGTAGGCTACGTAGACTAGGCCTCCCATTTAACCTGGCTGAGCCAATATAAAACAATCAGCCAAATAACTTTTCAATACATTATTGATTACTATTTTTGAGGTACTTTTAGGTTGGCAGTAAACATAAGTCAGAGGTACATGGTGTACTTTTCCTCCACTACATGTATTTAATACCTTTAGTTACTTCAGATGTGGATCGGAGCAGCGGGAGCGGTACTGCAGTCGCTTTACCGCACCGTTGTGACGAAAAGGGAGCTGAGCCAGAAGGCAAAGCTCTCTGTCTACCGGGCCATTTTCGTTCCTACCCTCACCTATGGTCATGAAGGATGGGTCATGACCGAAAGAACGAGATCGCGGATACAAGCGGCCGAGATGGGTTTTCTCCGCAGGGTGGCTGGTGTCTCCCTTAGGGATAAGGTGAGAAGTTCGGTCATCAGGGAGGGACTCGGAGTTGAGCCGCTCCTCCTTCGCGTCGAAAGGAGCCAGTTGAGGTGGTTCGGGCACCTAGTTAGGATGCCACCTGGGCGCCTCCCTAGGGAGGTGTTCCAGGCACGTCCAGCTGGGAAGAGACCAAGGGGTAGACCTAGGACCAGGTGGAGGGATTATATCTCTTCGCTGGCCTGGGAGCGCCTTGGGATCCCCCAGTCAGAGCTGGTTGATGTCGCCAGGGAAAAGAAAGTTTGGGGCTCTCTGCTGGAACTGCTACCCCCGCGACCCGACCACGGATAAGCGGGAGAAGATGGATGGATGGATGGACTTCAGATGTGGATGAATGATGTGAAATATAACCAAGTGTTGAATCAGACTTTAGTCCCACCTGGAGTAAATCCACAAGCTACCCTGCAGTATACAAAGTCATTCAAACTAGCTGCACCTTTACCAGCTTTGAGAACACTTTAATGATCAATCATTATAAAACATATCACATATATTATTCTGAAATGGACCAATCTGCACAGTGACTACTTTTACGGTCTTTAACTATATTTTGATGAGAATACTTTTCTACTTCTACTTGAGGAACATTTTGAATGCAGGACTTTTACTGTGACAGAGTATTACACTCTGGTACTTCTACTTTTACTCAAGTACAATATCTGAGTACTTATAATTTCACTACAAGATCTGAATCCTTGTACTTTTACTCAAGTACAATATCTGAGTACCTATAATTTCACTACAAGATCTGAATACTTGTACTTTTACTCAAGTACAATATCTGAGTACCTATTCCACCTCTGGTAGCGTATTAGTCTGAATTGTAGCCACAAAATCACGCAGAGCTGCATACAAATAGACTCACAATGGTAACAAGTGGAAAATAATATTTACAAATGTGTACAATGATTTGTAGGTAATTTTGACTACTCAAGACACCTGACTTATACATCTTCAAAGGAAGACTGTGTTCATTCTACAATTACATGGGATTAAAGCAAAATGTAGTTTTACTTGTATAATACTTCAAACATGTCTTTTAAAAAGACAGTTTGTTTTCATCTGTTTTAAAATAAACAAAGTATTGGCTTTCAGAATATTAAACTTGTTTCGGCAAATTCAGATGATAAATACAACTTTGAAGCTTCGGCATAATTACAAGCGGAGAACGGACTAATGTAACGTCACAGCAAGCATAACAACAGCCGGTGTTTCTTGTGAGTGTTTCCCCGGTACACAAACGCAAAAATACACAAACACACTCGCGAGCTTCCCCCAGACCAGTAATATAAACGAAAATGTGTCTTCGGGTCAATGTGACTGATTTCGATAGAGCAAGTCACATTTGGTTTAGGCACGAAACATACTACCAGTAGAAATACATTGCTTTAAAAATCGTTCTGTGTCGAATCAATAGATTATATTTCGTGACTATAACACGAAATGCCGTGAGACTGGGTTGAATTACAACAGTGAATGCTTCATCCTCTGAACACCACACGATGGCGACTGTAACGCATATAACATAGGTTACGCTCTTCTGAAATGGTTGTCCCCTGCAATTATTATTATCCCTCAATCGAGTTTGCTATTCAGCTAGCTAACGTTAGCTTAAACAAACGTAACATGCAACGTTAGCCTAATCTAAAATGCTCTACTACGGCGTACCTTTCATGTGGCTCGTCAGCGCAGACTCTCGCATCGTTATTTTTGCAAACTTTGCAGGAGGCTACTCGTGGGCTTGACCCTCGTCTTAGCCATGGCTTGTATTTGTCTTCTGCTAGCCAACGCTCGTTGAAACTGCAACCTCCTGGCACACAGTCATCTATCACTCTCATCAGAATGCCCAGCTCACAGTAACACAAACACTTGCAGGTCGCGCGCATAGCGCGGGAAGGCCGCAGCAGAGCTGTTTTATGGAGAAGCGAAGCAATTCTTTTCTTTTAATCTAAAAAGCGAACTATTCAGTCAGACAGTAATTTATTGTAAAAGTAAAGCATTTACATTTTCAAGCACTTTATCTCAAATTCAAGCACTTTCCCAACCTTGAAAACACCACGTCAAATTTCAAGCATTTTCAAGGATTTCAAGCACCCGTACGAACCCTGCAAGAAGACTAGAATCAGATGTGAGTGTGTGGTGTGTGTGAGTATGTGTGTGTGTTCAATTAGGGAGCCAGAACCTTCCATGAAAACATGAGTTGAAAACAAAAAGAGGCCAGGATGTTAGTGGAGCAGGTGTGTGTGTGTGTGTGAGTGTGTGTGGGACAAACGGATCTTTGTCCTTGCTGGCCGTGTTGTCCAGGCAGTTGGCAGAACAGCTAAAAGAGCTAAAAGACCCCACAGAACACCATAATAGTACTGAGAACAGGACACTCACACACACAATGTTTGAGCTTCACTTCCTCTGTCTACAGTTTCAGGACATAACCCTCCTTCTGCAGTACTGGTGTTCTTTAGTTGTTGCCCTTCAGAAACGTGCAATAATAAACACTGGAACAGATGGAGGTACATACTGGTCAGAGCGTAGTTGGGGTGCTCCACTTCCATGCGCTGCAGCTGGGCTCCCAAGTAGACCTGCAGGTGAAGAACAGGAAGTCATTATAATACAGTATCAGTGATTAACTATTAAAGACAGGCAGCAGAGTTAAGAAATGGTAATCAGGTGAAATGCAACATTTGATACATTTGCTTCTCTGCACCAGTCAACAGGCGATGGTGTTCCTCAGTATGTACTGAGGAATGTATGTATGTGTATGTACTGTGTGTGTCTGCTCGTCTCTCTGGCTCTCTTTTTAGACTCATACCTCATTCATACCTCATTCACACCAACGCAACTCCGGTTCAAGCTCCGTGCTAGAGCTTTTCAGGTTCAGAACCAGTTCTTCGGTTTAGCTCTAGCTGTTTTCACACCGCCCAGAGTCCGACTGGTAATGCGTCGTTGCGTCGTCGTTTGCGTCATGACGTAACCGTTTGCGTGCCTGCTTCATAAAGCCAAACCGCGCGGATGAAATCAGTTGCATTAATTTCTTATGGCTCTATCTGCAGCTTTTACGGAGTCCTTTCTGTGGTTTAGTTATATTCTTATAAAAAAGTGTACTCGTGTCAATAAAGGTTTTTTTAAAAACACAACTGCTTCCGAGGTCGGTCTTATTTCTTAAGGTGGACTGAACCATGAGTGTGGAGTAACGTTGTATCTTTCATTTAAATCAACTGTAACCTTCACCCATGTATGTAACAGCTGTTCTCAAATGAACACGTGAAGTAAAGTTTAATATTTATAGTTTTATAATGAGGTGATCAACGTGAATGCTCAGGTTCCACCTTAACACGCAGACACGTTGCTTCACCATGAGCAGAAACCTTTATATATACAGTCTATGGCAGAAACACTGAAACTCTGAAACTCTTGTTAAGTTTCTCCATCGTTGTGTACAAACTGGATAAAACGCGGGCTTTTTGTTGTTGTTCAGGAGTTGATCTGCCCCTGCCCCCGCCTCGACGTAAGCGTGACGTATGTGGTGGTTTTGCTCTGGCCGGACAATTTTTTGGTGCTTGAAACGAACCGGATTCCGGAGCTAAGAGGCTGCTCCGCTGCGGTGTGAAGAGAAAAACCCGGTGCTTTTCAAGCTCCAGCTCCGAACCGGCCCTGAAACACCGTTGGTGTGAATGAGGTATCACACCAACGCAACTCCGGTTCAAGCTCCGTGCTAGAGCTTTTCAGGTTCAGAACCGGTTCTTCGGTTTAGCTCTGGCTCTTTTCACACCGCCAGAGTCCGACTGGTGCTGCGTCATTGCGTCATCGTTTGCGTCATGACGTAACCGTTTGCGTGCCTGCTTCATAAAGCCAAACCGTGCGGATGAAATCAGTTGCATTAATTTCTTATGGCTCTATCTGCAGCTTTTCCGGAGTCATTTCTGTGGTTTAGTTATATTCTTATAAAAAAGTGTACTCGTGTCAATAAAGTTTTTTTTAAAAACACAACTGCTTCCGAGGTCGGTCTTATTTCTTAAGGTGGACTGAACCATGAGTGTGGAGTTACGTTGTATCTTTCATTTAAATGAACTGTAACCTTCACCCAGGTATGTAACAGCTGTTCTCAAATGAACAAGTGAAATAAAGTTTAATATTTATAGTTTTATAGATTTATAATGAGGTGATCAACGTGAATGCTCAGGTTCCACCTTAACACGCAGACACGTTGCTTCACCATGAGCAGAAACCTGGCAGAAACCTTTATATATACAGTCTATGGCAGAAACACTGAAACTCTTGTTAAGTTTCTCCATCGTTCTCCAAACTGGATAAAACGCGGGCTTTTTGTTGTTGTTCAGGAGTTGATCCTGTCTCTGCCTCCGCCTCGACGTAAGCGTGACGTATGCGGTGCTTTTGCTCTGGCCGGACAATTGTTTGGTGCTTGAAACTAACCGGATTCTGGAGCTAAGAGGCTGCTCCACTGCGGTGTGAACAGGAAAACCCGGTGCTTTTCAAGCTCCAGCTCCGAACCGGCCCTGAAACACCGTTGTGTGAATGAGGTAAAAGAGGACACACAGGTTCAACTAGAAAGGCCCTAGGAGAGAGGAGACCCCCACCTGGAACAATGGGGCATTCACGTGGTATTTGGGTGGTACACAGATGAAACTAAATTGGCCGATAACTTAAATATATACTTCAGATTTGTTTAACAGGGCAGGGCTATGTGGAATTGAATGACTATGTTAGTGTGTAAGACTGATGCGTACTGGGACTCGTGTTCTTCTGAGTATACAGGTGTTTCTGCTGTGGTCTCCAGCAGCTCTATAGGCTTTGAAAACACACCACATTTGTTGTCTCTTAAGGTTTGTATACAGTGGTAAAACACTGAAGGCATCAGTACCTTAATGTCGATGCCTCGCGCTATAGAGGAGTTGTTGAAGAACCTGGAAGGAACCTTCGAGGCTAGGTCAGGTTCTTCTCGACCAAAACCAAGATTTAAAAGGATTTCCTCGGGGTCTTCCTCATACAGGTCCAGCAGCTCTGACACACTGTGAACACACACACAGGCAGTCAATGATTCAGTCATCAAGGCCGTGAGCCACTCAGTCAGTTAGTTAGTGAGTTAGTCTGCTGGTTAGTTTATTAATCCTAACCGCAGCTTAAGAAGGGTGTTCTCCAGGGGCTCCTCTGACAGCTCCGACAACTCTGAAAAACTATGAAAACACAGACAGCCAGTTAGTACTTCTCACACACAGCTTTTTGTTAGTCTGTTAGTGAGGTAGTTAGTTACATATTAAATAAGTGGGGTAGTGGCTGAGCCTCTCCTCAGCAGCCTCACCTAGAGGTGGAGAACAAAATAAACCTGACCAGGAGGATCAGACCATCAAGGAATTAGGAAACGTGTTTTTGTTTGTATTGGGGGGGCTGTGTCTCATAAGGATGAGTTGGCGTGTACCAATCTGAAGGTCCTGGTTCAACCCCCCCCCCCTGTGGTGATTAGTAAAATTGGTAACTTTTGTGGGTATTGGAAATTAAATTGCAGGGATAAGTCAAATTTGCTTTAATTCAACGATCGCAGGAGGAACTATATGATGTAGTAAACTTAGTCTTGCATTGAGGCCTACTGATTTTCCTTTACAGCAAATGTTTAATTATGTTTGTAATGCCCTATAGGGGCTTCATGAAGATATGTTGTATTATTACTGCTCTCTATGGATTATTAGGTTTTCTCCTCATCACACATAGAAACCAATCTAGCTTTCAATCTGCTGCAAAACTTCTTCTTTTTTTTTTTTTTTAAACACAGCATCTCTCAAGTCCTTCGAACATTTTTAAAAACTGTGGATGGATTACCCATGATGCACCACCGCATAGCCCATAATGAACCAGTACACACACAATACACCAATGACCTCCAAACGCTGGAGTAATGCCCAAACGCTGGAGAAATGCCCAAACCCTGGCACCATCAGCCCCCTGCTGTGACCTCATCCCCGCTCGACCGCCACCACCAATAAATCCAAAAGACTCCTTCCCACCACAAACACTTTGTTCAAGAGTAAAGCCTCCAAACACAGATCTACTGATGATGCACCGCAGACATTAACAAACACAAACACACCAGCTTCAATCATCATAGAGATCTGGAAAAGTGTATCCCCCCACATTTCTGAGAGAGCAGTGATACTGTGAGCTGTTATTGTTCAAACCATGCAAACTCCACTAAAGGAGCTCTGAGAAAGGTCTGGTTTTTTGTAAGTATTCAATCAGAGAAACTAACCACAATGGTTCAACTCAACCAACTCCTTATATATTTACATCTTTATATACAGCAAATTCTTGTATGAGTGGTTCCCAATGTTCTTTTTATTTTTGACCCCCTAAAATGAAGCAATGTCTACCAATGACCATAGCCTGACCAACACAGGACTTTTGAGACCCATATCGCCCAAAACTAAAAAGAATGTGTGAATAAAAGTGTAGATACCCTCAAACTGAGGGTGGAGATACTCAGAAGGAGGCAGTTTATTTTTGATAAGCCTGCATGTGACAAAGCTGAATGGCTTTTTGAAACATGTTTTCTGACCCACGCAGCCCACAAATTCTGTCTTATTTCACACTTTATGCTTTGTAGGGCTGCTCGATTATGGCAAAAATCATAATCTCGATTATTTGGGTCAATAATTGATATCACGATTATTAAAAACGATTATCCATTTACTTTGAAAACATCAATTTAATGGAGAATTTTTTTTTTAACAGTATGTTTTTAACAGTTGATTACCCTGAACCTTAAGTATAATTCAACTGAAAAAACAATAAAAAAAAAAAAGTAATAATAATAAATAAATAATCGTTTTATTTCGATTACGTTGTTTTCGTAATCGTTGCAAGCCATAATCGTAATTGCCATTAAAATACGATTAATTGAGCAGCCCTAATGCTTTTTTAGGAAACCCAGAAACACAAATGTATGTAAGACGTTCTTCCTGTCCTCTTTAATAGAGCTCTGATATGATCGTGGGAGAGTGAACACTAAACACTAGGCTGATATCAATGACAATTACAAATAGTGGTGCTGGATTACTGTGCATGCTGAATCATCTCCTGTGAATCCCTTATGGAAATGGCAGCGTTAAAATAACATAATTGTATTGAGAAATGGTGACTGAATGTAAAAAGACGAGGGGGTGGTTTCCTGCTCAGTTTGTAAAATGTGAATAACTTTTTGGTTGTGTAAAAAAAGCTCTCTTTCGAGTAGCTTGATTGGCTTGAAGTTTAATAACAGCCCTCTGTGCCTCTGCTGCTCTCTACCTGAGATCACTGCGTTACTTCCTGCAGAAACCTCCATGAGTCTGAGTGGAGACTGACGAGGGGAACTGACCTGGACACAGTGCTGCTCTTCCCTGATCCTGTGGAGTTCATACTTCTTGCTCTCTCTTTATACTGACTCCTCTTCTGATCCGCAGCAAGCCCAAAGCTACATATTGACATACACACAGAAGCAATAACACACATACACAGAGTTATCAACCAGCTGTAATCATCTGTATTTACTCAAAGTAGAGAATTAAATACATGTTTACTCACCAGGATTCAGATGTATTGTTACTGGACTGAAGGTGGTTGGCTGCAGAAAAAAAAAATAGGAAATTAAGATCATTCATGTATCAATAAAAAACAACATATATACATTGTCATGCAAAGGATGATTATTTTCTATTATGAATTGATTGGTAAATATTGTTTTGTGAAATCTGTCCACATAAAGTGCTTTGCCTTCTTTTAATGCAGAGTTTTGCTTTTTTGTGTGGAAATAGTTTATCAAGATGATGGTCTTCTTGTATTTATGCAACTATAAGAGCAAAAGCCTGGTCTTGTGCATGTCCCTGCTCTAGTGAAGGAAATTCGCTTCCCAAGAGGATAGGTTCATGTTAGGTCTTATAAAGATCTGCTTTACAATAAGATGAGAGCTTCAGATTGTCTGGCTAACAAGCCAAGTAACTACAGTAAGTACTGAGCATGCCAAACAGGTATTTTCAACCAACTCATGGTGTGAGGGGTAAGCTTCATTAACTAGCTAGCTATAACAGATGTCAGACAGTTGTCATTTCAATGAGCATAACCAAAGCTTATTTAAATAATATTAAATACATACGTTATAGGGCATACATCTGCTGCAGTTCTGACTTTAAGAATGAATGTAGCGTGTTCACTTTCACTCAGTCAGAGATCTGCAATCACTCATCGCCAGATGCAGGTTTGACCGTTTTATTTTTCATTCAAAGGAACCTGTTGGGACATGTCGTCACGCCACTGTCTGTCTGAGTTCCTCTCTCTATTTTCTCCACTTAATTTAAGCTGACAATCTTCTTCTTTCTTTAAATGCAGTGTCATTATCTGTTTTAAAGGACCCAAAACATCACAAACTCCCCTGCAAACTCTTAATTCCCTGGCTTATTTCCATCTATTCACCCTGAATCCTTTAATTAACTAATTCACTTCCATTATATTCACACAGTGACACTATGATCCCCTTCCTCCTGTCCTTATAATGTTTGACATCATTTAAGCCCATTGCGATCTGTTCATACATGACCTCTCTAAAGTCTTCTGCGCCACTAAAGCTGATGAATGTTATTAAAACATGATTAAAGCATTTACAGTAAGGACATAAAAAGATAAAGTGAGATTTAGGATGATGACAAGAAGTAGCCACAGCCACTCAACTAAAGAGGTTTTCAAACAAAACCAAAATCTAAAAATAGTACCATTATCTTTTCTTCCTAATGTAACGTCCACATAAACGCAAAGCCAGTGAGCTCAAAAGAAGAAAGGTCGTGAGTGATCAAAGGTTGATGTTTGTGATGATGAAACATTAAGAGGCAACAGTAACATAGAAACTCAAACTCAGTCCTTGTGGTTACAATGGAGGAGAAGATTTAAGTCACACCAAAGTCCAAATACCTAATTCTTCTTTAGTTTAAAATGAAATAAAATGTTTTGTGCATCTTTTATAAATTCATACTGAAATGATTTTTCTATTTGGAAAAAAATGCTTTCCAATCCACTTAAAATATAAATTGTATGCAATTATTCTATCATAAATACATTTTTATTAACAATGGATCACATTATTACTTTGAAATGGGGCTGTTCTAAAGCTCAATCTGTATAACATTTCCACCTGACTCTGCATCTCCCTTGAGCTCAACAGGTCTTTTTCATGGCATTTCTCAGCACAATGTTTGTGTTTTACAGGATGAAAGCTAACTATTGTGCTTCACTTTCACTGGTTTCAATGCTATGTTTTAAAAACCCACTGCACACTAGCTGTCCAGCACCAAACTGTGTTCGGACATATTACCCAGATGTTGAACACAGTGTAGCATTCAGCAGCTAAAAAGTCTGATATTTTAGTTGGTAGAGACCAAACACAGAGCTTTAAGGTGAGTCAACATTGGAGGTATATTATAGGCTGCAATTAATAAGATTGCCTTAACCGCCTAACCATAACTGTATACATGCCAGACAAATGACAGGTGGCTATTATTCTGAAGAAGGCAAGATATGCAGAGAATCTGGCATACAGCCTAACAAAGCCTTCTAATAGTTATTGCACTTTGCCGGCACAGTTGTGCAAGACTAAAACATATTTCCTGAGAAAAACTTAGGCGAGGTGCTTCTATGTTGTCATGTCAGGTGAAATTACCATAGAACAAAAATCAAACCAGTTTTGCGAAATCAGGCTGAAGGACAAGTCGGATGTAATTGCTGAAAGATTGAATGACTTGATAGTTAATTATTAACGCCAACATGAATTAAATTGCATAGTTTCAGCACAAGATGAAGATAAATGAAGCGAAGGCTGCTGTTCCTGAACAAGTAGTCCCTGATCAAATCTATCCAACCTGCTGCCCCTCAGCATCAACTCATTAGCATCTATTCAGTCCCAGATCTCAGTCCCAGATCTCACACACACACAAGTGTCCCTTCAACATTTTCATTAGAGTCTATTCTTCACTCATAAAAACAAACACTTAACATCTATCTATCAGAGCTATGACTGATGTATTCACAGCAGTTCAGAGGAATGATGACACACACACACACAGAGGACTGTCAGTCAAGCATGCAGTGTGTTTCCACACCTCTGTGATTTGTTGACTTTTGCTTCATGAAGAAACAGGACTGAGGAATGAAGATGGAAGGAAGGAGGGATGTGAACCAAGTTCAGGGGATTATACTGACACTGTTGTGTTTGACATCTTTGCACATGTGATCAAGCTTTATGGTAATTGTATCAAAGGACACTTTGTACAACACAAAGTATGGATGGGCAATACGGACAAAATAAATTGCAATGTCTTTACGCAATTCCTTTGTAGTGATATTGCAACAATTTTGTAGGGTTGGTTTTGCTTTCAACAAATATTTAGAAAATACGATTTTTGATAGATAATTGGCAATAATGTAGATCTAATGACTAAGTCGGTAAAGAGCATCTATAACAGTTAGAAGGAAGCTAATGAAATTACATCACTGTACTTTAATGCAGCGCTTCAAAAAAGGAAAAAATAAAACATGCCATATTACGATATCCAAAACCTAAGAAGATATGAGTCTCATATCACTTTATCAATAATATATCGATACATTGCCCAGATCCCACATCCCATGACAATTATAGAAACTCAAAATCAAATAAGCAATGGCGTAACTTCACAACCTAGTCGGCATTTTGTTCTGGGCATTGTACATTTGTGCAAAACCCCATTTTTATATACTGTATATATTTGATATCAGCCTTGTATCAAAAAACGATTACGGTCAGGCTTAGAAAAAAGGTCATGTTAATGCTAAAACTATATAATCTACGGGCGATCAGAAAGCCCAACATCCATATTCTCATGTGAATCTGAGTAACATGGGGAAAATGTCAAATCGCTTGTTAGGCGGGTGGCGTCAGTTACTGTAAAACACATAACTATCTGAACACCGGGAAGGAACTTAACAATGAGCAGAGATCTGTAATCTTATTTGTATTGTGAGTTTTTCTGTGTGCTGACCTTCAGCTCCCAATGAAAGGTCATCTTCAAAGCTGCAGCCGTTCTTCTGCACTCCTGTTCACACGCAAGCACAAGCGCACATTTTGAGTAAGCACACAGAAGTAAAGTTACAAAATCCCTTCGATAACATCTCCATAGTTAAACAAGTAACCGCTAACAGTAACCAAAACAAATTCACTTAGTCAGTCATGATGGCACAAGTGTTTAGTCAAAAAGCAAAGAGATGTGTCCTAACAGGTTGGGGTCCTCACAATGTAATATATAAACAATAGACACAGAAATGAGGATTACCTTTGCTGGGAGAAGCAGTCTGGTCATCTAAGGAGGCTCCCAGGGGAGTCCTGGCCAAGAGACAAAGAGACAGTGTTGGAAATTCACCCAAACCATAAACTAACCATTAAAAACATAAACATCCAAAAGACTTTGAGGGTGTGGGCTTACATAACAAATATGAAACACCCTTAATGCTCATCTACTGTTATATCACTGCAACTTAAAATACCTTGAGGGAAAGTCCTAACCAGGCAAAACTAAGTACAAACAAACGAGGCAATCATATTTCTCCTAGGATTATCCCTGGTTAAACTGAGGGTAATAATTGACTAATTCCTGTTTGTGACATTCTCATTAGCCCGTGTTAAGTACTGACTAAGCTAAAGTAACTTTTACAACCTACAGTAAAGGCCAATCCAATGCTCTGGCTAAGTATACCCTGATAACTCTTTGACAAATAAATTACAGACCAATTGAATGTCCGAATTAAGGTAACAACTCCAATTTAGTCAGGCTGATGACAGCTATGTCAACGGTGGGTGCCAACCATCTCAGGCTAACTACCAGTTTAACTATAGCAACATCAAAGGTATCTTCCTGACAGATAAAGGCCAAGGCTTAGTAACACAGGCTGACTGCCTATCAGGCTAGGGCTATGTAACACATGCTAACTAGCTGTATTGTGAAGGCTATCCCAGGATAGCTCCTGGTCAGATCAGTCTACTTATTATTACCACCCACTACTGACCATGCTAGACTGAGCATCCTAGGCTTACTCTTGTTTTTTTGGTACCAGTTCCAGGTTTCCTACTGACCAGACTAGTTGTCCCAGGCTAACTAGCAGACACAACAGATCGGGCAAGTTGACAGCAGCAGTAAGCAAGCAGTTCTGATCTGCTGTGTGCAGCCAGATGCTGGGAAACACTGAGCTGTTACACAACCTGCCACTCTTATCAATGGTACAAACTTCATCACACACACACACACACACACACACACACACACACACACACACACACACACACACACACACACACACACACACACACACACACACACACACACACACACACACACACACACACACACACACACACACACACACACACACACACACACACACACACACACACACACACACACACACACACACACACACACACACACACACACACACACACACACACACACACACACACACACACACAAACACACACACACACACACACACACACACACACACACACACACACACACACACACACACACACACACACACACACACACACACACACACACACACACACACACACACACACACACACACACACACACACACACACACACACGTGTAACAGTGTGCAGTCACAGTGTTTGCTTAACCTACCAGTTTCCACCGGCAGCCATGTTGGCCTCAGGCCCCTGCGGCTGTTGCTATAGTAACATGTGATTCTGATTCTGCTGGTCATGTTGCCACGGTGAGGTTGCATAGCACCACAGGGTTGTGAGTGACAGCAGTGAACAGTGTGAGTGTGTGATAACAGTGTTAACTCAGCAGGAGAAATCCCTCCTCTGTTTACTTTCTTTCTTTCTGCCTTTCTTTTCCGTCTTCTGTCGGCTTCTTCCTGCGTCTTGCTCTCCTCTTTCTCTGCCTGAACAGCTCTATGTGCCCTATCTCTGGGCGTTGGTCTGCGTGTGTGTGTGTGTGTTCTGTGTGTTGGATGTCTGGGAGTGGCTGTGAGTTGGTTCTACGTCAGCAGCTGATAACAACGGGTACTAAACACACACAACTCCAGACATTGGAAAAAATATATCAATAAACCAGCAGGAAAACCAGTTCGCCACTAAAACCAGTTAGTCATTATTTTAAGACCATATCCTCGGTGTTTCCTAATTAAGTCCAGGAACTACTAAGTCCATTTACTGTACATTCCTGATTATCATTTCTAACCAATCAGCAGTTTTGTGATTACATTTCAGCTAATTTTGTACATCAACATTCATGAAACTTGCTGCACTCAACATCTGTCAGCTACATTTTAAACAAATAATAAAGTACAGATTGATCTGGAAAGTCATTGTTTTGGTCAGGTACTGTACCTGCATTTAATCAGCCAGCTGGCGATGTTGTTAGGCACTTGCCCTGGCAGAGAGAGACAGATGAACATGTTAAAACAGTAGGCCGCTGCTGTGTGCAACAACGATTACAACATGCTATAAAACATTGGCTTTGTGGGGATGCAGTGAAGCACAGCTGTACTTTGAGCTACCGTCAGAACACTTACCTGCTCGTAGCCACAATGCAAATAAGCTTACGTGTTGCAGGTATATTGTTTACGGTGTTAGTTTAACGTGTTAGCTTAATTACATTTGCTAACAAACATGGCGTCCTCTATGATGACACTTCTACGTGATGCTGCTGTGTGCGTTTTACAGTGCGCACTCACAATATACTCGTTAATGAGCAAAGTCCATCTCAGAACCCAATTCAAAGTACTGGTCTTCACATATAGAGCTGTCCATGGCCAAGCCCCAGCCTACATCAATGACCTTATCCACCCGCACATCACAACCCGGGCCCTGAGGTCCTCTGAGCAAGGCCTCCTAAGGGTGCCCCGAACCAGGCTAAAGACTAAGGGTGACCGTGCCTTTGAGGTGGTGGCCCCAAGGCTTTGGAACAAACTCCCCCAGATAATAAAAACCTCGGCCTCAATAGAGATTTTTAAGGGGCAGTTAAAGACACACCTGTTCCGACAGGCCTTTGGGTCGTCGTCGGAGGTAAGTTAGTGGCTGTCTTTATTTTATTGGTGTTTTGTCGTATGTTTTATCCTATGTATTACCTGCTGCTATTTTATGCCTTTTATTCTAAATTTTATAGTTGTACTTTGAATTGTGTCCTGTGTACTATACTGTAAAGCACTTTGTACATCCGTGTTGAGAAGGGTGCTATATAAATAAAGTTTTACTTACTTACAAAGTACAGCATGTTTTCTATCATGTGTATAATTTACAGTTTAATAACCTTTTTTAATGGCTGTTTTTTCCCTTTTATATATTTTCATAGAAATAAATTGTCACCCATTTACTTTAAAACAGTCGGTTTACAGTTGCGGAGTGTAGCAGACATTAGAGGAACTGCTGCGTGACTGGGCTGGGTTTACCTGGCCACATCAATATTTATGTTTGCAGACGGACGTGTTTTGTTTGCTGAAAATATTTCACACATCAATGTTCTCATATGACTGATTACTCACTTCCATGTTTGTTATGTTCTATAGTGTCATTTTGAAAGTAAATATGCTTATTTGTTACATGTTAACTCGTCAAGACTCCCAGTTCTGTGGCAGACTGGGAGCCTGCCTTTAAAGATGTGAAAACAAACAAAAGAAACTCATGAGTGCTCTCTGCAGACACTTTTTCTAAGATATCTCAAATACTTAATACCATCTGCCTTTCTGTTTTGCAACTTCCTGACGCTCATCAGTCGACTTATGGCAATACTGACATGACTGTGATAAGGTTAAATTGTCTGATAATGGGCAATGAGTGTCACTTAACTGAGGTGTCTAAAAGAAAAAGAAAAAAAAAAATAATAGTACTTTCTCAGCAGACATATGGTTAACATGAAACACAGTAACATTTAATATTGTTAAAATATCCCCAGTTACATCTACAGCTGAGGTCAGTCTAACCTGTTTCCTCTGAGGGTGTTTGCTCTTCCCCGGCCCTCTGGTTCTGTTGGGGTCCCTCTTCTTCTGATTCTAGCCAGGTGGAATCTTTGCTCTTTGCCCATGCCCGACGGCGCAGACAGGCTACATTGTAGTCTGCCTGCACTCTAGGATCTGAGGATCAATCAAGCAAACTGTCAGACAGCCGGACTACCATGAGTCATCAATCAGGTTTGGCAGGTATTCAACCGGACTGACAGAAACTACACTGAACAAAAATATAAATGCAACACTTTTGTTTTTGCTCCCATTTTTCATGAGATGAACTCAAAGATCTAAAACATTTTCTATATACACAAAATAACCATTTCTCTCAAATATTGTTCACAAATCTGAAAAGATCTGTGATAGTGAGCACTTCTCCTTTGCCGAGATAATCCATCCCACCTCACAGGATCACAGCATGATTATTGCACAGGTGTGCCTTAGGCTGGCCACAATAAAAGGCCACTCTGAAACGTGCAGTTTTGCTTTATTGGGGGGGTCTGGGGGGGTCCGAAAACCAGTCAGTATCTGGTGTGACCACCATTTGCCTCATGCAGTGCAACACATCACCTTCGCATCAGGTTGTTGATTGTGGCCTGTGGAATGTTGGTCCACTCCTCTTCAATGGCTGTGCGAAGTTGCTGGATATTGGCAGGAACTGGAACACGCTGTCGTATACGCCGATCCAGAGCATCCCAAACATGCTCAATGGGTGACATGTCCGGTGAGTATGCTGGCCATGCAAGAACTGGGATGTTTTCAGCCTCCAGGAATTGTGTACAGATCCTTGCAACATGGGGCCGTGCATTATCATGCTGCAACATGAGGTGATGGTCGTGGATGAATGGCACAACAATGGGCATCAGGATCTCGTCACGGTATCTCTGTGCATTCACAATGCCATCAATAAAATGCACCAGTGTTCGTCGTCCATAACATACGCCTGCCCATACCATAACCCCACCACCACCATGGGCCACTCGATTCACAACATTGACATCAGAAAACCGCTCACCCACACGACGCCACACACGCTGTCTGCCATCTGCCCTGAACAGTGAAAACCGGGATTCATCTGTGAAGAGAACACCTCTCCAACGTGCCAGACGCCATAGAATGGGAGCATTTGCCCACTCAAGTCGGTTACGACGACAAACCGGAGTCAGGTCGAGACCCCGATGAGGACGACGAGCATGCAGATGAGCTTCCCTGAGACGGTTTCTGACAGTTTGTGCAGAAATTCTTTTGTTATGCAAACCGATTGTTGCAGCAACTGTCCGAGTGGCTGGTCTCAGACGATCTTGGAGGTGAACATGCTGGATGTGGAGGTCCTGGGCTGGTGTGGTTACACGTGGTCTGCGGTTGGATGTACTGCCAAATTCTCTGAAACGCCTTTGGAGACGGCTTATGGTAGAGAAATGAACATTCAATTCACGGGCAACAGCTCTGGTGGACATTCCTGCTGTCAGCATGCCAATTGCACGCTCCCTCAAAACTTGCGACATCTGTGGCATTGTGCTGTGTGATAAAACTGAACATTTTAGAGTGGCCTTTTATTGTGGCCAGCCTAAGGCACACCTGTGCAATAATCATTCTGTGTAATCAGCATCTTGATATGCCACACCTGTGAGGTGGGATGGATTATCTCGGCAAAGGAGAAGTGCTCACTATCACAGATTTTTTCAGATTTGTGAACAATATTTGAGAGAAATGGTTATTTTGTGTATGTAGAAAATGTTTTAGATCTTTGAGTTCATCTCATGAAAAATGGGAGCAAAAACAAAAGTGTTGCGTTTATATTTTTGTTCAGCGTATGTCTGATCAAACCCACACATCAGGTGGGTCGAGCTAGGTGATCATATGCAACAATTCTCGCAATGTATAACTTTTTCAACCATCACTTTGATAAGGGACAATAAAGACTGAGGCCCTAGCATTAATGAAAATGTAAAAGTCCATCCCCTTGCATTCCACTATATATACCCAGGGACTGCAGATGGTAATTAGCAAACTGCTATAATCTGGTACAAAGCCTCTTATCTCTGTTCTTTATACATGGTCACTAAACTAAACACATTTAAAGAGTCATGCTGTGTCTCAATGTTTATGCTTCCATTAGTATCGAGTACACTCGTACTTATTTGGATAGTCTGTGAATTTTCAAAGGGTATCGTTGTCTCAAATTGTAGCAAACTGTTCAGACAACAAGGTAGTGTTTTTTAGGTTAAAAAATAACCTGAATAAAAAAATGTATATATAACTTTTATTTGTTTAGTGGTGTTCACAGGAGAAACCCAAACTACTGCTGGTCCCTCCTCTTCCGCAACATGCTAATATGCCGACCGCAGAGGGTGAAAGAGTCTAGCCTTCCACACTCATCTTTTTGACCATCTTGAGTGCAAAATCAGGTTGTCAAATCATTCTCAGTGTGAATGCAAGTCTAAGTACAGGAGTGAGCAAATTGAGACACACTGTCATTGTTGCCCTGTATTCATTACTTTAAGCAATTCAAATGTATTTATCTGTTTCCTTTAGCCAACTGTATACGATACTTGAAGACAATTATTAAAGCTTTTTATCAGTTAACAATATTTTTTTTAAAAACGGTAATCCATTGTTTTCATCTTCTATTAAAAAAACCTTTTTTTAAATGTCTTATGTTGACTACTTTTTTAACTGTGAGATGACCCACCTGGAGCAGTGCTGGTGTCCATGGCCAGAGATCCACTCTCCATATCTGCCTGTCTGTGTGTCTGGTTGAGGGCCATCAGTCCATCAGAGGAGACTGGCGACTCTATAGGAACATCAGCAGCAGGTAACACTCCTGAGCAAGAGAGAGATAAAGCAATAATAAAAAGAGAAGAGAATATATCTGAAGCACCAAATAACACATCATGCTGCATTATCAGTCCCTGATTGAAACATGCAATGCAGACGCAAACAGTACACAGACATAACAAGCTACACATACAGTACATAAAACACATAATTCACTCACAATAAAAGCTTTAAAATAAGCTATTAATTGGAGCGTCTAAATAAAAGTGTGTTCAAACCTGGACAGTTGAAACAGAGCGAGGGTGTTTTTGGTGACATGAGAAGTGGCTTCTATTATTGATGACTGAGTTACCCACGCTGAGACCAGCTGCGATTACACAAACACATGGCAAACATACTGGACTTCTTTTCTTTTACATTGTGGTGTTGCTGCTTTTACTTTAGTGAAGCATTTGAATCCTTATGAGTTTTGTAGTTTTCAACAGCTCATCTCTCAAATGTCATGCATCCTTCATCACATGAACATGGGCTTTTCCGAACAGTTATTTGGTTTGTAAATGTTTCTTATGTATGAAACAAGCTTCAAGTCTCTGCAAGTTGATTCATCATAGAAATGAGCTGAGACCAGAAGCTGCCTGAGGTGTCACGAGATCAATCTGAACCCTGATAAATGATCTGCGGTAACAAGCGGTGTGTGGCACATCATTGTATGTTCATTTAATGCCTTCAACCAGAATTATCTCTAAGAAACATCACCGCTGGACCAACATCAGGAACGTTGTACCAACACAGGAAGGCACACCTCTTAGACATGTTTTTTAGGACTTAAATACATTTATTTTTCATCATAAACTGTGAGGATTTTTTCATTAATATCTTCTATTATTCATGTTGTGTATATAATGGGGACGTTTTCAAATGTATGCATGTTCTATCAGAAAATAAAAGCCAAAGAAACAACAAAGATCAGTTATGCTGGACTGAAATATATGTTTGATGGATGCCATGAAGTTTTGTTCAGACATTCATGTTCCCCTCAGAATGAAACATCGAGGGTCACCATCAGTTTAAAATGTCACTTTGTCCAACACTACACACGTAATGACACCCCATCAGTCTCAGCTGCACTTTGTACTTTGATAAATAGCAAATGTTAGCATGGTAACACACTGTAGTATCAAAGCAAATATTATACCTGCTAAACATTTGCATTTTTATTGTCAGCATGTTGACATTAGCATTCAGTATCACTGTACCTCAATACAGCCTCACAGGTGGCTGTAGGCTATTAGTCATGCTGCTTGATAAATGAATGAAGCTTAATAATGTATTATGTTGTGATTATACTAAACCTTTTAAACAACATCTATGTTGGTGTTACCATATATACACTGCATATATAAACTAAACATATTTGATTATACATTTAATTAACTGATCCTATTTTTCCCCAAAGCAACTTACAATAAGTGCATTCAATCATGAGCTTCAACTAAGGCAACCAAATATCAAATATATAAACTGTAAATTGTTCATTTGGTTTTAGTATTAGTTTTTCCCCCAAAGGTTTTATCAAGAAAAATAAGAATCTAGTTCTTGTTTCTGCAATAAATGTTATATTTATTAGAAGAAAACAATAGGCATACGCAGCAGCTGTTCTCATTTCTTTGGCCACTTGTCCCTGAGTTCAGTCTGACAGGTAAAAGGTGACCGGCCACCAACCAGCCTTACCAACAGGAACAACACCAGAGTTTACTACTGAGGAAGTCTGTATGTAAACAGGAATGTAATAATAGGTTAGGCTACATGGTTACTAACAATAGCTAACACAGTGATACAGCCACAAAGCTGTTTAATAAAACTCAAGATTTCAATATGAAGTAAAGACAGGAGAAAACAAAGAGCTGGTGGGGTAGAAATAAAATAGTCCACATGGAAGAAAAAAAAGAGAAGCATGCAGCCAAATTGAAATGAGAACGTGTGAAACAGGAAACAAGTGTTTGGGATGAATAACAGAACAACTTCCTGTCTGAGATACAAGAGAGACAGATGGGAAAGATCCATTTATTTTTAGATTTCTCTTGTAAATGCAGAAAAACAACAACAGACAGACAGTGGGAGATCGAGTACAGCGAGTCTTGTTAACACACTTGTTAACCCCCCCATGTCTTTAAATGACTCCTTCAGGCTTAAAGGAGGCTACAAAGAGTTTGCATTGTCGTTCTTTACAGAGAACAGCAGCTGTGATACGTTTGGATTCTTATGGTTATCATAGGATTTAATGGTGAGAAGATGATGACAGGAGAGAAGTATCAAATCAATCTAAATAATTAATTATTATATATAATGGTTTCTGACTTCTCCTCTGACTATCTTTTAGCTCCATCTTTTAAAATGTCAAACATATAAACCAGTTAACACACCTTAACACTGGTAGGAAAACAGTTATGTATATGAGCAACAGTTAATGTGCTCAACTTAGACACCTAAAAACAATACATTTCCAACAATAACTGCGGATTATGTATTTGACATCATTGCATGAGATATAGTAATCTGACAAAATAATTGTTTTTCTCAGTCCAGAGTTCAAATGATCACAACTACCTTTTCAATCTCAACACTATTTTAGTCACTTTTGCACATCATAAAATCCCATTCTAATCATCTTTGGACTAATGCAAATGCTGTGTGAATAATTATAATGTGACGCCTCTTTGTATTATCAATTGCTTTGGTCATGTTTATCAAAATGTGCATGTGAGTTCATTCCATAAGTCATTACTTGCAAAATGGTCCAACCCGTCTTCGTAATCTGCCATGTGTCATGTATTAATGCTTTGCTCTATAAGTGGAATATGACTTTCACTTAATGACGGGGTATGTGGAAGACTGCAGTGTAATCCCCCCAAGCAGGGCTGCGTGTAATATTCTAACTATGTTATATTTTTTAAATATTGTATTTTTTACTTTGTGATATGTAGTTCTGTTAAAAGAAAGATATTGACTGTAGATAAATTACAGTAAATAGGGCATAAATGTGAATTCAGATAAATCTCTTGCAATGAATCTCCCATATGAAGTAAAGTGTAACTGTGTACTGTTGAAATGAATAAACCATATGTTATACAGAAAAATGCAGCCATGAGCATTTACAATCCTTGTCATGAAAAGGTTCATGATTTCCATCAGAAAATACTCAACATAGCTGCATTTCGACCAACTTGTTTGGAAACAATGACAGGACATGTCTTATCATTCAGATAAGACATAGCTATTTACTTTGGACGATAAACAAAGGATTTAGTGAAAGTGACACGCTTCTGCAGATAATCCATTGTGTGGTGCGCTTCTTAGGAAAGGATTTGAGAAGTGCACTTAATGTTTTGCAAATGTTGAGTATGATGAGTATGAAAAACTGAAATACGTTTAGTACATTTTCCTATTTAAACTGGATAACTTAAGTAACACATTTAATGAAAGAAGTTGACTTTAAAGGAGTCATTTTAAAGTGTGCTTTTATAACTTTTACTTAAGAAAGGATCTTAATACTTCCTTCACCACTGGCACTATTGCAATAAAGTGTAAAAATGTGAGGATGTTTTACTTTTCTCTGTTTTAAATCATTGTAAATCAAATGCCTTTGAGAGAAAAGGACCCCCCCGACTGTCATCAATTCTGACAGGAACCAGACTCAGAGGTTACGACTGTAGGAATAAAACCCTACTTACAGTCCTTTACCTTGAACCGATGCACAGAGAAACACTTAAACCTTCATCTCACTGACAATGTTTAACACTCACTGCAAACAGGCTTAAACAGAGAAGCGTGGGGACAAAGAGCCTGTTTACATCCCTGTTACATCACTGTTACTGTAAGCTGCAGGATGACACTATAAGATCAAACAGACGCTGAACAAAGGCTCTAAGTAGATCCTTATGTGCCGTTTTAAAGCATATGAAAAGCAGTTACTAGCTAGGGTCCGGTAAGCTGTGATGTATTTGAACTCTCCTACTTAAGTATTTCTTGTTTTATGAAAGGTAAACACTTTAAATAACCTTTTTTTATCCAAATACTACTTTATGTGTAATGCTTGATCTTACGAAGTCTTTGGATAATTCAACTTGTTGTAAATTGTTTGTTTCTGCCTGATTACTGCCATTATAGACTTAACAAATAACTTATTTAGAAAACAATAACCTGTTCAATCATAAAATAATGATTAAGTGCCTATTACTTGTGACTGAATATTTCTGCAGTGTAAGGCATCATTTACTTTTGGAAATAATGTAAGTGCTCCTTACACCACAGGTTTTCAATTGAGAATATAATTGTATTCATTTAATTTAAAAATAAAACGAGTTGCAGCCCTACTCGTGAGCAACAAACAAAATGTGAAAACACATTCAGAATACCATAGCCCAAAGTGACACCTTCAGTTGTACCATGGGAATTAAAATAATCCTAATAATTAAAATGAAATAAGCAAAGCCTCTCATTCGGAAAGCTAAAACCACTAATTGTTTTTGAAGGAAAAATGTTGATTTTTAAATGAATAGTTAATTGACTGATCATTTGAGTTGTAGTACTTAACTCTAATGTTGGGTAATTTAACATATCTTACTATGTTTTATGTGCAACAATCTTATTTAGCTAAGTTTGTTAAGTAACTAAAGCTCTCAGAAAAAATGTGTAGTAAAAATATCCAACTACAATGCAGTTGAGTAGGAGTAGAAAGCAAATACCTCAAAAGTGTACTTAAGTACAGTAACGTTAGTAGAACGTTCACCAGTGTCCATCTTCCACTCACATCACACATTAGATGCTGGTGTGAATCAACTCAACTTTAAATACCTACTGTCAAGTAAAAACCCCATTATTAAATCCACATGTGTGATCAAACTTTTCTCTTTTCGCTCGGACTGAACTTGTTTGTCCTGTTTAGTTGTTCGTGCTGTGACACGGAGGACAGGACTGACAGCAGAAAAACACAAACACACACTAACCACAGAAGCGGGACTTCCACACACAATAAGAGGTCATATTAGCGATAAGGTGAGAGGGTACAGGTACTCACCGTCATGTTTCTCCGCGGTTTTTGTCGCAGCTCCCAAACTGTCAAACTTGTCCAAACTTTTCTGAAAACACTCCAACATTCCTGCTTCCGCTTCCTGAAAGCAGCAGCAGGAGAGGGGGCGTGTCCGCAGCGCTGCAGCCGAGAAACAGCCACGCCTGCCGGACTGACTCCGCACACACAGCACGGCACGACGCTGAAGTTGGCTTCCGATTCAGAGCATCCGATTCGGCAGTTAAGGGGAAAGTTAAGGGACATTTAATTTACAGCGCTGAGCGAACAATCCTCCGTGTTTGAACCTCTTAAATCGCTGCATAGCCGATTTATTTGGACTGGATTATCCCAGAGAGTCTAAAGATTATTTATAACCCAGTTTGAGATTTGTGAAACCTTTATTCTATTTGTGAAAATACAAAAAAGGGAGATTTCAGTGCTTTTTTCACATGTAGACCACATTAGACCAGGTCCTGATCTGAAACCACTAGACCTAGACTCATCAAATCTGGACTGGATTATCCCAGAGACTCTAAAGATTCTTTATAACACAGTTTGAGATTTGTGAAATCTTTATTCTATTTGTGAAAATACAAGAAGGCATAAAGGCTTGCCCAGCTGGGAGGTTTGATTGATTGATTGAAAAGTTTATTAACAGCTTGTATATTGGGTACAGTACAGTACAGCTCAAAACATACAATTGTTAAGGGGATGCAGACCAGAGAAAGACTTTCGTCTTGTTTACATCAGGGTCCCCCATTTCCAATTCATCATATCATTTAAGACATATAAGACATATTTGACATACAGATGGCTTATTTACAATTAAATAAGCCATCATCAAATAAGGTTCACTCTCTGATTCTGATCCTGGCCTGCTGCAGCAACCTCAGCCTTCCACCTGTGTTTGTATTTTCACAAATAGAATAAAGGTTTCAAAAATATGAAACTGTGTTGTAAATAATCTTTAGCCTCTGTGGGATAATCCAGTCCAGATTTGATGAGTGTAGGTCTAGTGGTTTTAGATCAGGACCTGGTCTAATGTGGTCTACATGTTAAAAAAAAGCACTGAAATCTCCCTTGTTTGTATTTTCACAAATGAATAAAGGTTTCACAAATCTGAAACTATGTTATAAAGAATATTTAGACCCTCTGGGATAATCCAGTCCATATTTGATGAGTGTAGGTCTAGTGGTTTTAGATCAGGACCTGGTCTAATGTGGTCTACATGTAAAAAAAAAAAAGCACTGAAATCTCCCTTGTTTGTATTTTCACAAATGAATAAAGGTTTCACAAATCTGAAACTATGTTATAAAGAATATTTAGACCCTCTGGGATAATCCAGTCCAGATTTGATGAGTCTAGGTCTAGTGGTTTTAGATCAGGACCTGGTCTAATGTGGTCAGGATGCGAAAAAAGCACTGAAATCTCCCTTGTTTGTATTTTCACAAATAGAATAAAGGTTTCACAAATCTGAAACTGTATTATAAAGAATCTTTAGACCCTCTGGCATAATCCAGTCCAGATTTGATGAGTCTAGGTCTAGTGGTTTTAGATCAGGACCTGGTCTAATGTGGTCTACATGTAAAAAAAAAAAGCACTGAAATCTCCCTTGTTTGTATTTTCACAAATGAATAAAGGTTTCACAAATCTGAAACTATGTTATAAAGAATATTTAGACCCTCTGGGATAATCCAGTCCAGATTTGATGAGTCTAGGTCTAGTGGTTTTAGATCAGGACCTGGTCTAATGTGGTCAGGATGCGAAAAAAGCACTGAAATCTCCCTTGTTTGTATTTTCACAAATAGAATAAAGGTTTCACAAATCTGAAACTGTGTTATAAAGAATCTTTAGACTCTCTGGGATAATCCAGTCCAAATAAATCGGCTATGCAGCTATTTAAGAGGTTCAAACACGGAGGATCGTTCGCTCAGCGCTGTAAATCAAATGTCCCTTAACTTTCCCCTTAACTGCGGAATCGGATGCTCTGAATCGGAAGCTAACTTCAGCGTCGTCCGCACGGCGGAGGAGACGTGGATCCTTTTCATTGCCTTGTACAACGAAATGCGGTTAGAGTACCATCTGGTTGCATAAGAGAAAGAAAAAAAGGCTAGTGGAAGATGATGTGTGGGGTCTTAAAGAAAGACAGACAGACAAAAGAAAGAAAGAAAGAAAGAAAGTGGTGGCCTTGCTTTTATTTGTAGTACCCACATTTAACCACCAGGTAGAGACAACACACCATTGAACTGATGATCGTCTTTAAAGAAACGCTCTGATGCTCTGTGATGATTTAACAGCTGCAAAACACATTGATACAAAAATAATGAGGTATTTAAGTCCAAACTAAACCAGTGAAATGTTAATTATCTATGTACTCATTATGTTAAGAGTCACTCCCATTACCAGGACAATTATTTTCTCTTTTTTTATGTAATTTTAAAAAGTCAGAATTAGTATTATGCATTAATTTATTACTTATTATCTATATTAGATTGCGAAAAAAAGGCATTGATGTTTTACTCATACTGGATTGCAAAGATATTGATTTTTGAAATGCTTGCTTAAGTTGTTTCTTTATTTGTTTACCGTTTGTTTGGATTTTTGGGACTTCATCAAATTGACCTTTATTAATCCCTGTGGGGAATTTAGGAAATTATTCAAGATAATACATCTCAAGGAATATATAATAATAAAAACATACTAAAACACAGTTTCTTCCTTCACATGAGAAGTTACCATACATAGCCTACATATATATCTGCTCAAAACTACATAATGATAAGCCTGTTTTATATAAATGTAGGTTTATGTGAATATAAGAGAGGAGAGAGAGAGAGAGAGAAAGAGAGAGAGTTGTATGTGTGTGTGTGTGTGTGTGTGTGTGTGTGTCTGCGTGCCTGCGTGCATGCGTGTGCGTGTGTGTGCGTGTGTGTGTTGAGTTTCCAATGGTGGCTACCTTTTACATATGAATAAGGTAATTTGACCTTCTCCATGCACACAGCCTGAAGTATAGAATAATAGTTCTTATTCAACAGCATGTGGCTCTGCTGCTCGTTTACTTTGCTTAAAATAAGGCAACGCATGTTTATTTATATGGCACCTTTGAATACAAGTAAATTCAAGGTGCTTTATAAAAATGAAAACATTAAGAGCATAAAGACATAATGCATAATGGCATTTAAAAACAGCTAAATGTGTATCTCCCCTTAATTATTGTCACCTCACTGATGTTTCAAACTCTACCTCATTCCTGTTTCTGCTCCTGATAAATCTCTGTGAAATAATGTATTATCTGGATGTTTAAAACATAAACATTCAAAGCCACTAACAGCTTGGGTTTTGACTGAAAACATCAAATTAAACTGTGACTTTTGTGTGACCTGTTCTGGGTATCTGTGATTTTATTCTTGACTTTATAAAGGACTTCAACTAGAGAAAAGTATATCAGAACAAAAGTGTATTGTCATTATATATTATAGTCAACATTCATGAGCAGCACAGAGAGAAATCTGCAGTTGCATCAAGTGCATCAGTCCTTGGCTGATGTTAACCATTAGCAGCCAGAGGATGGGACAGACACTCTGGTCCTCTAAAGTTGCCCGGTAACCTCCTAGCAACCGGTGTTCTGTCACCACAGCAACCTCTTCACTGCAGCGCGGTCCAAAGTCTACTGCTTCTTTCCAAATAAGATGCAGCCAGAGTGGATAATGAATGCTGAAAGAGAGGGAAAGTCCCCCATTGGACCATGAGAGGTGCAGGAATGAGTCTTTAACACCAGTAAAAGTAAGCAGGTTTGCACCCATGTTCCTTAGTCTCAGAATCAATGGGATTTTATCGGGTTTTTGGTAGAATTAGCTTTGTTCGAACCACAAATGTAGCTTTCTTACTTAATGTGTTTTATCTAACAACTTCTGGACTTCCTCGTCAGAAAGTAAGAGCAGTTGTTCTTGAGAGAAACATACTGGCATCTTAGGTTTAGCTATAGAAAGTTATGATGTATGTAGTATACGCTTTTGAGTTGATTGACTTTCTTAAATATCAAATGTGTAAATAAATCACAATTCAAAATGAGAAACAAAAATAAATTACTTAACCACGATTCAAGGAGACTAAGGTTTTGCTAAAAAAGAGTTTGAACTATGTTGTGCAACCAAATTGACAGGAAAATGTGTTTGAATTAGGAAGGAAAGTTAAAGAAAGTTACAGAAATGTTCAAAGTCACTACCTCACATTGCTAATCAGAAATAAACAACTACCAACATTTGAAATGGCGGCAAAAGTAAAGGGAGCACCAAAGTTTGTGTACCAAAGTTTGCAGCAATCCATACAATAGTTGTTGTAGATTGGTCTAAAACAGTTGGCCTGATGCTGGCTCTAGAGGCAAAGTTATTAAAAGATAATCAAGGTTATTACAATCAGGGAATATGAATGTGAATGAAACAGCAATTCAACCAAAAAGACTGACCTGCTTGTGGCACGACAGAAAAGCCATGGGATCATCAAAGTCATCAGGATTCATCCTCTGGGGACCATGGATGTCTGTATTACATCTCATGGGAAACCATTAAGTGAAATATAAGCATTTGTGGATCCATTAGATTGTGCACATTTGTAATCACTTCCTGTTGGTTTGTCTTTTGTGGATTGAATCAAATCCAACGAAACACACCCATTTTTGCACCTCACATTTGTGGATTTCTTATTTGCAGATCAGCTGATTCAGGTGTCAATTGGGGGACTCAAGTTGACACCTGAACTTGCACCAACCAAAGGTATACTAATATGTGTAATTTCACCCAGGATGGATTGCAATCAGACCTGGTTATATTATATATTTTCATTAACCTTTACAGACTCAACTGTCAATATAATGATCACACCTTCCATTTCAAGAAGGATGTCTGGTGCGCATGCGTGGTTTAATGTGGCGACAGATGGTCATTTTTCCTCACAAAAAGAGAGAGAGAGGGAGAGGGAGAGAGAGAGAGAGAGAGAGAGAGAGAGAGAGAGAGAGAGAGAGAGAGAGAGAGAGAGAGAGAGAGAGCGCGCCTTGGATGATACAAATAAGATTTGTCACGTGATCCCCGGGGCCGTTTGAATGACGTCCACACCATATGGCGCGTGCCGGGAGGGCGTGGCATCGATATGCTAATTACACTCCATGCCCGTGTGTGTATGTGTCCGGTGTGTGTGTGTGTGTGTGTGTGTGTGTGTGGGTGTGTGTGTGTGTGTGTGTGTGTGTGTGTGTGTGTGTGTTTGGGATGCTGAGTATAAAAACAGCATCCTCCCACTCACACACCTCAGAAATCTCAGCGCAGATCACGCACAGTTACGCTCGGACACGCACATAGAGCGCGCGGGATGCATGTGATCTGACCAGCTTCTTACAACAGGTAGGTTTTATTATTTATTATAAAGAGTAATAACTTGTAGCCTACCTTTAATGATCAATTCATCCTCTGATTGGTTCTTCCTTAAGCACGATACATCTGATTAAATATTTATACCAAATGAATTATATATTAATGATAATTTAAAATAGAGAACAATTAACAGCGATTCATTCACTTAGTAGTCGTTGGCTCTACCTAAAAAAATAAACCAATATTCGTTATTTCCTCAATTCTGATTCGTTTTTCTCTCTTTCTTTAGTTAGTTTCTTTCTTTAGACTGTTCAATCATTCCTAAAATCATATAGATCGAGTTGCCGTCAGTCTATTCTCCTTTTCTGAATTTAAATATACAATTTCATTTTAAAAACGCGGGGGTCTTTTATTTTGTTATTTTGTTATTTTGTTTGACAAATTTGTTTCGTCTTTTTATATTCGATTTTTCTCCACCTGTTAGTCTGCAACATTTACTGGAGCAGTTTTTGGAAAACGGGAAGGAGACATTTATGATAATAATAATAATAATAATAATAATAATAATAATAATAATAATAATAATAATAATAATAATAATAATAGGTGTTTTCCTAATCTTTTAGCATATACTTTTAATCAACGTTGAAGTCGTGTTTTCAGACGTTTTTCGCCTAAATATTCCACTTTTAATATGAAAACTGGATATTTAAAACGGACTTGATTTTGTATTCACCTTTCAAATAGACAAAACTATTATTTGATTTACCAGAGATGCAGATTTAAACATTGTATTATTATCTAAACTGTATTAAGGGTTATTTCCGTATAGTCCGTTTCCCTATACGGATATATGAATGCTGTTTTATAACAGTTTGTGGATTTTATTCTTAAATCATATATCTAAAGGTCGTATATGTTGGTAAATGTGTGATTTGGTCTAAATCACTTTAAACTTGAGTTATTTATAATACAGTTGATGCTACTGACTGAATTATGCCTATTACTCCTTAGGCCAATATAAGCCTATATACGAATAATCAGCCTATACTTGAATACGCAATTTAATACGTATCAGAAAGCCTGATAATTTAAGATTTAAACCTGCAATTATTTTTATTTTCGTATATAAATAATATCATAGCGAGAGCTTTACAGCATTTGAAAAGAAACCCTAAAATCAGCTTAATTTATAGCCTATATTTATTTTAAGTAGGCCTCACAAACTACAGCAGCTCAATTTAATATTGGTTTTCTGCCATTTTATTTAGAAGAAAATAAAAGCTGCACAGCATGCTCACCGAGGATTGCCTTCAACAGCTGGAAGTTAGACCTGTCTGGTCTCGTGGTTATGAATATTTGTATTTGTAAAATAACAGATACATTCTGGGTTTATCTTATAAATCAAGATATTGCAAAATCAACTGCCAAACACGAGTTTGATCCCACAATTGAGTTTGTAGCAATATAAAAAAACATGTGAAAAAAGATTAAACCATATTATATACATTGGGAACTGAAGCTGTTATTGATACATTTTACTGTATAAAAGCCTTAAAAACAGTATAGAGAGTAATTTTTATATTATAACTCCCTTAATGGGCAGTTTAATTCTGTTTCTATTAATGAGCCTACAGAGATTAAGTGATAATGAGTTTTTAATTGTTTTCTAATGAGCATATTCATAGTCTCACACAGAGAATCAGCATCATGACCAGGTCTCTGCAGGAAGAGCAGGAGTCGGTGGGGTCGGAGGAGCAGCAGGAGCCTCAAAGCCCCTCAGAAGAAGGAGGAGAGGAAGAGGAGGACAGCCTCCTTAACCTGGAGGATGAAGACGAGGAGGATGATGGCGAGGAGGAAGAGGAGGAGGAGGACGGAGAGAACAAACCCAAGAGACGAGGTCCAAAGAAGAAGAAGATGACAAAGGCTCGTGTTCAGAGGTAAAGAAGATAGAAAACAAATATTATCAGCCAAAATGCACAAATATGTTTGTCCTGAGGGGGCGCTAGAGAGGAATCACATGTTCATTAAAATATAGAGGGTTCATCCTCTGAGGAACAGGATTGTGGTCAGTAGATTTGGGGAAATTGTACCCCTATACATAATCAGACACAGTGCACAAATGTAATGAAAATCATCATTCCTTTGAAAGGAATCTGGGTTGAAATGCAAAATGTTGGTTCCAAAACAGAACCATAAAGAACTTATTTGTGGATCTGAGATTTTGTTTAAATGGGAACATCGCACCAGTGCTTTATTACCAAGAGGATCTTCTCCACTTGCCCTCCTGCTCTTACGGTGACTAAATGTTGATTTCCATCCGACTCAATCTGGACATATTTTCTGTGATATGAATGACAATGAGTGTGATTTTATGTGTGATATTTGAAAACAGGACTAACATTTAATCTGCTTTGTTTTTCTGCAGGTTTAAAGTCCGTCGGATGAAAGCTAACGCTCGGGAGAGGAACCGCATGCACGGGTTAAACGATGCTCTGGAAGGTCTGCGCAAAATTGTCCCTTGTTACTCGAAAACCCAGAAACTTTCCAAAATCGAGACACTCCGCCTTGCCAAGAACTACATCTGGGCCCTCAGTGAGATCCTGCGATCTGGCAAGGCACCTGACCTCATGAGCTTCGTCCAGGCACTTTGCAAAGGTCAGCGTCATCTTATTGCATCAGAATGGGCTGGGTTGAGCTAGAACCAGAGACAGTGTGTTAAAAATAACATAAGGGGGATATTATAAATATATGTGGTCTCAACCAGTGACACTCACCAAATTCAAATTAAGATAGAAATTTCTCATAGCGCCCCCTTTTGCCAAAAAAGTATCCTTGGGCATTAGAACAAAATGAGTATATTTGTGTATAACAAAATTCACCAGTAAGCTAGCAGCGAGAATAGCGATGCTTATCTCTTTACAAGATGATATATCGGTATTGACTGATTTTTGTCTCTTTCTCAGGTCTGTCTCAGCCGACTACTAACCTGGTGGCGGGCTGCCTTCAGCTGAATCCTCGGACTTTTCTCCCTGAGCAGATGTCCGAACCATCGGTTCACCTCCCCCCACCCGGCACTGCCACCTATCCTGGACATTACTCTTACCAGAGCCCTGGGCTGACGGCCGGCCTGCCCAGCCCGCCCTACGGCACCATGGAGCCCTCACACATCTTCCACCAGGTCAAAGGTCAACAACCCTACCCGCTGGAGCCCTTCTTCGATGGCGTCCTGGTATCAGAGGGCCCATCGTTTGACCCGCCCCTCAGCCCGCCGCTCAGCATCAACGGGAACTTTGCGTCCTTCAAGCACGAGACTGTCGCTGGTGCTGACTACGACAAGAGTTTCTCCTTCAACGTACATTATGGGGCCGCAGGAGCTGGGGGTCACCCTGCCCTCTATGGCAGTGAGGGGTCCAACCCGCGGTGCAGTGAGCTGCAGGTGGACGGGCTGATGGGCTTTGATGGACACTCTCACCATGAGCGGATGATGAACGCCCAGCTGAATGCCATCTTCCACGAGTCCTGAGGAAGAGGAGGACAGAGGACAGAGAGCTGACCAGAGAGACAGTTATATGGACAGACAGACAGTTCTGTGTATGTCTATCATTTCATAGCTGTCTTTTATTTTTTCTCTTCTTTCATTCTGTGTCAGGCTCTACAACTCCTCATCATGAGGGCGCTGATGGCGATGTCATGTTGATGATGTAACCTTCTGTGTAGCTCTTCATCCTGCAGGAGACACTCTCTGAATGTCTCTTTGTTTTCCATATTATCACTCAAAAATAATCAATAAGCAATAATCTGGTGGAAACTATGCAATTTTGTTCAAATCTGAGCAACGCTCAGCTGATAATTCCAAATGTTGAAAGAATAAAGATTTCTCTATTTTTGGGTCTGTATGTAAGTTGGCTTTGAGCCGGAAATTGGGCCGAAGTGTTCATGTTGTGCTTTTTACTTTTTGCTTTTTATAACGTTCCTGTAGTATTCTGTCAACATTTCATGTGACTTTTGTTCATATTTTATAAGATAGATGTTTATAAAGGCCTTTTAATAAAAGGAATTCAATGTCATTTATCTGAGAGTCTCTGTTCATCAGCAACAACGCAACAAAACAACAGAACTCCAATTGGATCCTGCCCGAATGTCAATACACGACGAGTTGTGAGTGGTGAGAACGTGTCGGTTCAGTTCAGTTTACTTACATAACCAGGTTCTGCAGTTAAGTTTGCTCAATTCACTTCTGTCTAAATAACACATTTATGCAGGAAAATCTAAGCAGTCAGGTAGTATATTATATATATTGTTGTCAGTCTCCAGGATGCTTATTACTGCCACCAAGCATTTCATTTCCCAAAAAATCAACAATGGACTGGCTGATCCATCAGATGGATTTCTGCTTTTAAGATACATTGATAATTCAATTAGTGCATTGACATAACATTCACAACACTTGAACACCTAACACTCCCTCTACTTACAGTATTATATGACTGGTCTATTTAAAACTGATGTGTATTCTAATCTATCACACTATCAGCTTAAACAAGAATATGTCAAGATTGACCTGTTGGAGATTACGTTTTTATGTGACAACAGCGTTAATTAAAGTGGATTTAAGGCTCCAAGTTTTAATTAACACATGAGAAGAAAACACATATCTCCTTACAGAGAAAACCACGTTAACGTGTTAACAACATTATCCCACTATGTGTGCGTGTGTTTGTGTGTTTGTGTGAAGGGCACAGATGTTCGTTCTGCAGGCAAGATTTTAATTTATGAAAATGATCTTGTTTATGCATGAGAGCCCCTCTCTATATACACTGCTGTCTTGCTGAGTGTGTGTGTGTGTGTGTGTGTGTGTGTGTGTGTGTGTGTGTGTGTGTGTGTGTGTGTGTGTGTGTGTGTGTGTGTGTGTGTGTGTGTGTGTGTGTGTGTGTGTGTGAGTCAAGAGGGACAATATGTTGGCCATATCCCACCATTTAGCCTCTCTGTTAGTGGAATAATTATGATTAGAGCATAAAGATTAAAGATTAACCCTGTTCAAACCAAACAAAACAGAAATGTTAACTAACACTTATAAGATGAAGGAAGAAAAAAAGTACTTTTTTAGAGAAAGGAAGTTATAAATATAAAGGTCATGTGGACATTTTAATTACATGTAGAACCAAAAACTTGTATTAATAGAAGTATAAGTAGTAGTACTTGTGATATAGGTTTATTTTTTCAGTCTGTCGGATGATCATAACACTGATTAATGCAGATTAAAGTAAACCATCTGTTATCAACACACATTCCCATAATATGGTGGTTATACCCTAGTCAGGGAACATCCTGTTCTCTGATTTGGTTTGCATGTATATATTAAAATTATATATCAGTGTGCACCTGATGAAGCAGATTATAGTAAATAGGGGTGTGTTGTTCGGAGTAACTATACATGTAAAGGTGTCATATATTCTACAAAATAAATGTAATTGTAATCTGTTTCAATTGCTGGGACAAATATGTCCTTTTTATCGACAGTGACTATGTTAGTAATTAAAAAGGGGTTACAATCTACTATCTGGTTTTAGATATGTAGAATATGACGATCATGTTGTTGCACCTTTCATTTGCATAAATGCTTTTTGCACATTTCTGGACTAGGAACTATGTTGGAAGTGTGTGCTCAAATATTTTGTGTTGTTTGAGGAATTTTGCCTTACGAATTTATATAATGTAAATCCACTGATAAATATTATAATAAAATATATGTTCAGAATCAGAATACCTTTATTAGTACCACGGAGGGGAAATGTGCGTAGTTACAGCAGGAAAAAGAGCCACAGACAGATTAATGTTACATCATGTTAAATATGTGACATGCATTAAAAAAAAGTACTAAGTTATGATATAATACAAAATATAATAAAAAATAAAAAGTTACATCATTTAAAAAAATACACATCCTGTAACAGTTCTTAAGATTTAGCAGCCAGGTATATATTATACAGTTATTAACGGCATCTATATATATTGCACATCTAGCACATATTGCACATAGGTGGTTGGTATTTAACAGCAGCAAGTTACACAATTTACAAAATACAAAATACACACCTTGTAACAGTTCTAAGGATTTAGCAGCCAGGATATATTACAGTTATTAACGGCATTTATATATATGTTGTTCTAAAACAGACATTATGCATAATGAGTAGACTAATTAGGACTTTTAGCCTACTTAACATAGGATCTACTATTGTCTACACTGTGCTATACTCATTAGTTCTCATAAAACATGTGAAATATGCAAAGTAACTCGTAACTTAAGTAAGAGTAATAGGAACTAGGCCTATAAAGAAGTAGTACACATTCAGACAAGAAGTATACATTAGAAATACTCAAGTTAATATACAAGTACCTAATGACTGTATTTAAGTATAACCAGAGAACTTTAAATATTGTTATAAAATAGGACTGCTTTAAGTTGACTCACTGTTTGCGCACTCCCGCTTGGATGAAGGATAGACGCGGGAGCGCGCACGAACGTTAATTAGACGCTGGTGAATCTGCCAAGTGTCTGAAAAAGCGGCTCCCCGTCTCCATAGCGACGACACCCCGGAAATACAACATAGCTCATCAGTTGTGATCAGCTCACCGTATGTTTATCTGCCGCTTGGTTTTTCATAAAGCAACCACCTCATAACTTATTGTGTTTGTTTGATTGTTCGTCGATCGACTCAATAAACATGTCGGAGAATGAGGAGGACCTCCAGAGAAAGCAGAACGACAGCACGAAGAAGAAGAAGAAGAAAGAAAAACAAAGTGCGAAGAAGAAAAAGAAGAATGGGGAGGAAGAGGAGGAGGAGAAGTGCAAAGAAGAGGAAGAAGAGGAGGTTAAGGAGGAAGAGAAGAACAGGTGAGTGTTTGTTGTTAGCAGAGGCGGACTCATGCCGTCAGAGGGACAGTGGCGAAACAAATAAAAGGGCACGAGCTTCATGAAGGCCCAGCGTGCAGGAAGTTGTGTAGCTTGAATGGCAGCTTTTATGGTACAGTGTAATTTAAAAAAAACACCCTTTAGAAACTCAACCCTTTAAAGTTACACACCCTAAGAATAACCAGGTTGGTGTTTGCTAGTTTTAACCATTAGCATCTGGCTGTCCAATTCTCCCATCAGAAACTGATCACGCTCTTGCCCCCCTTGTATAACCTGTATATTAGTGCACTGCATTTTGTTTCGTCCAATTAAGGGGATTGAGACATTTATTTTGTCCGTAAAATACTATATTTGGTGTCCTCCTGGGACATTCTAATCAATGCCACAATTATTGTTTTGACTTTTCGACACTTTCACTCCTGCAGGTATGATTTAAGAACATTCACATTGTTACACACATATGAACTTGTTATATATTACTGAAGGACACTTAATTACATCATATAGAATGGAAAAAGATGATTTGGGGTTTCTGACATTAGTCTGCATAATTCATTCTTTTGTTTAGTAGGCCTACAAACATTTATGTGGCATATTTAAATAAACTGTGTGTGTTTGGTGTGTTTTGCCAGTGAGGGTGTTTTGCTGCGTGGGATCTTCAAAGTGGGGAAGAAGAGTCATGACGTGTTACTCACCCGAACGAGGCTGACGTGGATCCCCATCATCCCGGAGAACCCCACAGGTCAGTTACCACAGCGACATGGGCCATGCTACACTACGGACAGACAGACAGACAGACAGACAGACAGACAGACAGACAGACAGACAGACAGACAGACAGACAGACAGACAGACAGACAGACAGACAGACAGACAGACAGACAGACAGACAGACAGACAGACAGACAGACAGACAGACAGACAGACAGACAGACAGACAGACAGACAGACAGACAGACAGACAGACAGACAGACAGACAGACAGACAGACAGCAGGCAGGCAGGCAGGCAGACAGACAGACAGACAGACAGACAGACAGACAGACAGACAGCAGACAGACAGACAGACAGACAGACAGACAGACAGACAGACAGACAGACAGACAGACAGACAGACAGACAGACAGACAGACAGACAGACAGGCAGTGTGTATTTCGAGGCAGCTGGTGGTGTAATGGAGAAGTTCGGTCATGTTGAGACCACCTTAAACATGACATCTGGACACACACACACACACACACACACACACACACACACACACACACACACACACACACACACACACACACATTCTAAAATTAAATTAAGAGTCTTTTCTTTGCATGATCAGAGTTAATCATTTTAATTTTCCGATGTCAATCTCATCTACCTGGACTGATTGCCAGTGCATGTCTCTTAACATGGCCACCACCACAATCTCAGCAAGCTATAAATAAATAACACACCTAAAAAGCACACATTTAAAGATATACTTTTTGTATAAGAAACATAAGGAACTACAAAATAGTGTGCCTGATTCTTTAAAGGTGTACATATTCTTTGGTGCAGTCATGTTGTGTTGATTTTGTAATGGTTGGTATCATGGTGGTAATATTATGAAATTACTTTAATTATTTTAGGAAATGTCCTGTGTTGTGTGCTTGTTTTTAGTTGAAATCCACTCAAACAGAACTGATTAGTGGAGCAGGATGAAAGTGTGAATATAATGTGTGTGTGTGTGCATTTGGTTGATGCCAATCTGTTTTGTTGTATTTCATACAAGTTAATGCCATTACGGCAGCCAACTGTGTGTGTGTGTGTGTGTGTGTGTGTGTGTGTGTGTGTGTGTGTGTGTGTTTGTTTGTTTGTGTGGTTGTTTGTTGGCAGTAGTATAGAGCAGTTGGTTCGGCCTGTGGGGGGTTATTAGTGAGTGTCTCAGTGTGAGGAGATTAACACACACATACTCAGCCTGCCAGCGTGCTGTGTGTGTATGTTGATTAGATATTTCTATATAAATGGATCAGTTGTTGTTTATTTGTGCACATGAATTTCTCCTGTTTCACCCAGCAGCCTGTCTCTCTGCCTGTCGGAGAGGTGAGACTGGACTGTTTTGTACTAACAAAATCATGGAATATACATGCAGACCAATTTTAGTTTTTTGCAAT